TCCTCCGGCCTCGGCGTCCGGAGCTCCCGCCACACAGTCCCCTCTGCGGCCTCAGACACACTTCCCGGCGTGCCCCGCGCTCCCTTAGACGCGCCTCCCGTCTGGTCCCTCCTCCCAAACAGCCGCACTTCCGGTAGTTCCTCTTCACCAAAGCCTGACGCACTTCCCAGCATGCCACGCGACCGACGCAAGACACACCTTCTGACACGCAACGTGTAACACTGCCACACTTCCCGGCGTGTCTTTCGACTGGCGCAAGACGCGCTTCCCGGCATGCCACAGGACCGACGCAAGACGCACCTCCAGGCATGTTACGCATCGACGCTGCCACACTACCCGGCGTGCCCCGCATTCACCCAGACGCACCTCCCTTTTAGTCCCGCCTCCCGAACATCCACACTTCCGGTAGTACCTTGCCTCCAAAGCTTGACACACTTCCCAGCATGCCACGCGACCGACGCAAGACGCACCTGCTGAGACGCAACGTAGCGGCACTGTCACACTTCCCGGCGTACCTTTCGACTGACGCATTACGCACTTCCCAGAATGCAGAGGGTCCAACGTAAGACGCACCTCCCGGCATGCAACGCGGCCACTCGGCCACACTTCCCTGCGTTCATCGCGACCGAGTCGTGACGCACTTCCGGGCGTATACCGGGTCCACTGCTACTACATTTCCCAGCGTGCTCTGCGCCCGTCGCTAAGCAACGTTTATTGCTGAGGCCAGCTTAAAGAGCCCGCTCTTGGGCGTCCAGGCCAGAGCAAAGGAGGAGCCGGGATCCAATTCTCTTGCGGTTTGGAGATCCAGGGCCCTTTGGCTACGTTCTCCCGTTCTGCTTGGATTCTCGGGGGCATCTGTGGAGCCTGTAGGATCCTAAATTCCAGACATTAGTATCCGCCACTTCAAGAAAATGTTAAAGCGCTCTGGTCTGTGACAGGTTCCAGGAGGGGGGCCGGGAGAGGCGAAGACTCCATGCAAAGAGCGCCTCTCACAGGAAGGGAGTGTCTACGGGCTCTCTGGCCGCCTGCCGAGGGCATTCCTGGGACAACGGGCCACAGGGCCATCCCGTCAGAGGACTGGAGGGCAGACACGAACCAGAGTGAACCCCGAAGGGGATGGTTGTGCAGGAGAAGGCCCTGGTTTACAGGAAATCGCCCCTGCTCTTTGGGAGAAAAAGAAATTAAAACGTGTGCGGGGTCACAGAGTATCACACGGGTAATTTCAGAATTCTCGTGAAGAGAGGCCTCTGTGCTATACATGTCGCTTTACTGTAGTTTTGCTTTGGGATGGCTGGGCAAAAACAAACGCACACAAAAGTTTAAGCGGTGCAATACCAGATGTGTCCACAAGACGGCGACATAACATCCCAAAAGCGGTGTTAGCAGGTATATGGACTAATAATGGGGATTTTTCCCCCCCATAGATGCAGGTATTACTAAACTCCCTGCAAATGCTCCTTTTTTTGGCATTAAACTCGACGTTTTTTGGCATTAAAATATCTATGATGTTAACGCCTTCAAAATGTGACATGAAGTTTTGAAGATTGTTTATTCTAAATAGCATAAGTACCAAATTGCATATATATCCACATAAGTGCACATGCCATTTTGCTTACCGGGCTTTAAGAAAAAAATGTTTTTCTTCAATATGTTATGTATCTCAGCGGGGAAGGGAGAGGGAGAGAGAGAGAGACAGAGACATACGAAAGATTAGAGAAAACCATCCATTGGCTGCTACATGCAAACCCCACTCTGGGGATGGAGCCCACCACCTGACTTGTGCCCTGACCGGGAATGGAACCGCACCACCTCCTGGTTCAGAGATCAAAGCTCAACCACTGAGCCACACCGGCCGGAGGGCATCGGTGGTGCTAACGGTCTCCTCTGCACTCAAAGCTCCAAAGAACAGAGACAAAAAGGACATTTGCTTGAGAATCGGAGGCGGACTTACCAGGCACTGAAGCGCCGGGTCCTTTGGGAGGGACTCTGCTCTCCAACCCTCACCCCCAGCCTGCGACCCTGCAGCCACGGTCAGGCGGCCCCAGCACAGGGTCCTCCCGAGAGAGACACCACCCCCTCTGCCTCCTGGAGTGCCTCCTCCCAGGCCTCCTGCCGCTGCCACCTCCCTTTCAGGCCTGCCCCGCCCGCAGCCCCGCAAGCCGGACAGCCGCCACCGCGTTTGTCTCTGAGAGAAAACAACCCCTTTTCACTAGTTTCAGCGACGGGGATCCACATCCACGGCGAGAATCGGCTGCCTCCTGCACCCCCACACCAGGCGTGGCGGCTGCAATCTGGGCAACGAACCAGGAATCAGATCTGAGACCTTCCGCTTCCCAGGTCCAAGCTCAACCACTGAGCCACACTGCAGGGGCGCAGCCAGGTGCAATCGCTGTGCCCGGAGAGAAAGACTGCTTGGCTGCGGGCTGTTAACTGTTAACTCAGGGTTCCCACCGCCTTAACTTAGCGCTCCCACTGCATTTGCATGGGTCTGATCCACCCCTGAGGGGGGTCCCCCCAGCTCCCCTTCTCTTGGGGTTCGGAGGTCGGGGGCGCCTTGGCTCGGTCCCTGTTCTGGTTGCCTTCTGGGGGCCGTCTCTGCAGCCTGCAGGGGCCCCGATTCCAGACATTAGTATCCGCCGCTTCTGCAAAGCGTTAAAGCGCTCCAGTCTGTGACAGGTTCCGGGAGGGGGGCCGGGAGAGGCGAAGACTCCATGCAAAGTGCGCCTCTCAGGGAAGGGGTGTCGGCGGGGTCTCCGGCCGCCTGCCGAGGGCATTCCTGGGACAACGGGCCACATTGAATCCCGTCAGAGGACTGGAGGGCAGACACGCATCAGAGGGAACCCCAGATGCGGGTGGTTGTGCAGGAGGAGGCCCTGGTTTACGGGAAATCGCCCCTGCTATTTGGGAGAAAAAGAAATTAAAACGTGTGCGGGGTCACGGGGTATCACACGGGTAATGTCAGATTGCTCCTGAAGACAGGCCTCTGTGCTATACTTGTCACTTTACTGTAGTTTTGCTTTGGGATGGCTGGGGGGGGGGGGGGGGGGGGGAGTTTAAACGATGCAATACCAGATGTGTCCACAAGACGGCGACATAACAAAGCCAAAAGCGGTGTTAGCAGGTATATGGACTAATAACGGGGATTTCCCCCTAAAGATGCAGTTATTAATGATGAACTAAAACTCCCTGCAAATGCTCCTTTTTTTTGGCATTAAACTCGACCCTTATAGGCGTAAAAATATCTATGATGTCAACGCCTTCAGAAAATATGACATGAAGTTTTGAAGATTGTTATTCAAAATGGCATACATATCAAATGGTATATATTTCCACATATGTGCACTTGCCATGATGCTTACCGGGCTTTAAGAAAGTTTATTTTTTTATTTTTTTAAAAAAAATATTTTATTGATTTTTTTACAGAGAGGAAGAAGGGAGAGAGGGATAGAAAGCTAGGAACATGGATGAGAGAGAAACATGGACCAGCCGCCTCCTGCACACCCACCACTGGGATGCGCCCGCAACCAATGTACATGCTCATGACCGGAATCAGACCCGGGACCAGCGCTCTATCCACTGAGCCAAACCGGTTTCCGTGAAAGTTTTGTTTTGTTTTGTTTTGTTTGTTTAATATGCTAGGGATCTCAGAGGGGAAGGGAGAGGGAGAGAAACACCAGTGTACATAGGGATGTAAGTTTATGTGCAGCCATCGTTCTGTTTTATCAATAAAGCGTTTTGAGAACTTTGCTTGGCCCGGGCGGCAGCAGTCTGAGAATTCCCGGTGTGAAGAGAAATCCCAGACTGCCTTTGGAAAGCAGGAGGCAGCCAGTCCGCGCTTCTCTCTCCCTTTCCCTTCCTCCGAGATCAATTTTAAAAAAAAGTTTTTTAAAAATGTTATTGCCTTTACACTGAAGTCCTCTCCTCCCACACTTTCAAATTGTAACTTCCCTCCCCGCCCTCACCGATGTGCCTGCCTTTCTCTCCGAGGACTTTTCTTTGGATTCTCTGTTTTACACGCACACACACGCACACACACGCACACACACACACACACACTCCCTCTGCCTTCCTCACCCACATGCACTCTCCAGGGAGTGGCCCGCAGAGACAGCCTCTGTCCGCCCAGAGGCCACCTGCAGTTACACGCCGCCGTCAGTAGCCATGGAATCCGTGACCTCCCCGTTAGACTGAGTACCCCAACCTCACCCCTCCCTGGTCCCCGCTGACCCACCGTTTCCGTTCCCTGCGCCTTGGGAAATTCCGGGAATAGTTCGTGTTTCCAGCTCATGCCTGCCCTCCCGTGTGATGGCCCCGGAGGGAGGCTGCCTTTGGCCAGCAGGCCCCGCTCCCGGCCCATCTGGCCCTTGGTGGCTGTCTCCTTATCACACCCACATCATCAGGGAGAGGTCACGGTTGCATAGCTTCTGGCACAGCATACAGTGACCATTGTTCTATTTCTTTTTTTTTTATTTTAAAAATATATTTTATTGATTTTTTACAGAGAGGAAGGAAGAGAGTTAGAAACGTCGACGAGAGAGAGTCAGCGACCAGCTGCCTCCTGCACGCCCCCCACTGGGGATGCGCCCGCAACCAAGGCCCATGCCCTTGACCGGAATCGAACCCGGGACCTTTCAGTCCTCAGGCCGATGCTCTATCCACTGAGCCACACCGGTTTCTGCCCATTGTTCTATTTCATCATTAGCGGTTCTCAGCGTCTTACACGTTAAACTCAGCCATCCGTGTGCATTTGTGGGAAAGTCTATGCAGGGCTCGGCCATCCGCTGGGGGCTTGAGAGGTGCCCCGGGAATAAGGGGGCGCTTCCTCCCGGGCTCCTCCGCCCTCTGCCGCCTGCACGGAGGGCAGCCTTCCTGGAGTCCGGAGCGATCCATCATCCTGGAGGAGGAGAGCGATCCATCATCCTGGAGGAAGGAACGATTGATCATCCTGGAGGAGGGGAGCGTTCGATCATCCTGCAGGAGGGGAGCGATTGGTCATCCTGGAGGAAGGAGCGATTGATCATCCTGGAGGAGGGGAGCGTTCGATCATCCTGCAGGAGGGGAGCGATTGGTTATCCTGGAGGAAGGAGCGATTGATCATCCTGGAGGAGGGGAGCGTTCGATCATTCTGGAGGAGGGGAGCGATTGGTCATCCTGGAGGAGGGGAGCGATTGATCATCCTGGAGGAGGAGCGATCGATCACTCGGGCCTCCTCTGGGCGGGCCTGTGCGCGCCGGGGCGCGGAGATCGGCTGGTCGTGCCTGGGCGCATGCGCAGAGCCCCTGGGAGGTGTGGGCCGCCGGTTCGCCCCGCGCCGGGGGTTCGGGCGCAAACGGAGCATCGCGGGGCTCAGAGCCGGTCCGGGCGGGGGCGCGGCGGCCGCGCGGGGGCCTGCGCCAGGCGCGGTGCCAGGCTGGCCCGGAGCGATGGCGGTGCAGCCTGGGCGCCCGCTGCGCCGCACGTGGTCCTGCAGGAGCGGCGCTGCCGGAGCCAATGACATGGAGCCCGGCCCCCGCCTTCCCCTCTGAGCAGCCCGGCAGGTCCAGCCGCCCCGGCCCCGGCCCCCGGGGTCCCCGCTGCTGTGCGATCGATCATCCTGGAGGTCCCCGCGATGCCCGGGGCGCCGCCCGCCGGGAAGAGGCCGCGCCGCAGCCTGTCCGGCGGCAGGACCAGGGCCGGGGCCGGGAGCCAGGAGTCCGGGCCCATCGAGCTGTGCTTCCGCCGCGCGCCGCCCGCCAGGCTGGCCTGCCCGGCGTGTGGGCAGCTGGTGGCCCGCTACGACCTCAACCGGCACCTGGATGACCTGTGCGCCCCCCGCGGCGGCGTCCCGCCGGGGGCCCGCGCCGGAGGCGCCGCTGCCGCCGAGGGGGGGACCCCGCCGCCCCAGGCGCACTCGGCCCCCGAGCGGGGCGGCGCGGCCACACGGGGCCGGAAGCAGACCAGCCCCTACTTCCAGGGCGCCGGGAACGTGTGCCCTGACCGAGGCGCAGAGCCCACAGCCCGGGACGGCCGGGTGGTTCCCTTGGGCAGCCTGGCGTCCAGGCTATCCAGGCGGTCCCTGCAGGCCCGAGAGGAGGAGGAGAAGGCGGAGGCCGGGGCCGGGGGCGTGGGGAGCAGCTCCCAGAAGGAGAACGTGCGCTCCTGTGAGTCTCTCACGGAGGAAGACACCACCAGGGGCCCCAAGCCGCCCCAGGATGCAGGGAGGCCCACCCTGGCCCCTGCCTTCCCGGAGAACGCGCCCGTGTCATCGCCCCCGGGGCCTCCGTCCGCGCCCGAGCACCGTCCGGCGAAGCGGGAGGGGACGGGACGAGGTGGCGGGGAAGGTGCGGGGACACGGGCGGCAGGTGTCGGCGAGGAGGTCGGAGGGACCGAGCTGTCCCGTCCGGAGGCGCAGGACACCTCCGAGGGGAGGGACTTGCACAGACTCCCCCTGGAAGGTGCGGGCGGCGGCTCGGAGGATGGAGCGGCTCTCGGGGTCCCCTCGGGGCCGGGGTCCCCGTTACCACCTCCGCCCGGCCACCCTTACTACCTCCGCAGCTTCCTGCTGGTGCTGGGCGCCGTCTTCCAGAACGAGGACGACAGCAGGCTCTTCGACCAGCAGGAGCAGGGCATGGTGGCCGGGTTCCACCAGCTGTCAGGTACCTGCCAGGCAGCCTGTGCTCCGGGCTCCGTCTCCCGTGTGGCCACCAGGAGGCAGTGTGGTTCTGAGAATCAACCTCCCCCCCAGGGCTTCCTCCAGGGAAGGATGAGTACGGAAAAGAGGCGAGATTGTTGTGCCCTGTGAGGTCTGGGCCTGGAGTATCCTGCCTTCATGTGGATTCAGCAGGCCCTCCGATAGTGTGGTGTTTTAGTAATGTATTCATATTGACCTCAGAGAGGAAGGGGGGGGGAGAGAGAGAGAAACATCCACGACGAGAGAGAGAGAATCGGGGATCGGCTGCCCATCGAGCCTGCCATCGGGGCACCTGACCGGAAATGGAACCGTGACCTCATGGTTCATAGGATGATGCTCAACCCCTGAGCCGCACCGGCTGGGCTCCCACAATGTTTTCGTTCCTCGTGTTTTCCATTGTAATGCTGATGAGATGCCCTAGGAACTAAACTCTTCTTCATATCAGTTACGGTGGAATGGCTTTGTTGCCCTCTTCCCTTAAAGTCGCAGAGCTTACTGATGTTATTGACAGGTGGCAGACAGCCTTTTCTGGATAAAAAAAAAAAATAACAGTGGCCCTAACTGGTGTGGCTCAGTGGATAGGGCGTCGCCTTGCGGATTCAAGGGTCCCAGGCTCGATTTCGGTCAAAGGCATGTACGTGGGTTGGGGGCACATCCCAGTAGGGGACATGCAGGAGGCAGCCAATCAATGATTGTCTCTCAGTGATGTTTCACGCTCTCCGTCTCCCTTCCTCTCTGAAATCAATAAAGACATATATTAAAGTAAATAAATAAAAATAAAAAGTGACAGTGCACCTCCTCAAAGCGCCCTTGCATTCTGGGCGGGCAGGCTGTGTTGTGTCTGCACAGCCTGTCCTCAGGAGTGAAGGCGGAAGGCGGGAGCAGACCGGGGGACACTGAAGCAGTATTTTAGGCTCCTGGACGCCGCCCCCGGGGCCTGGGCGTGGAGGAAACGGACGCATCCGAGCTAAATCGGTCCGTTTACAAACGGGAGCCTGTGCCTCTGCTCCTTGGCGGCCGGCCGTGGCTCCCGGCCAGACGGCCAGGTCTGCCACAAAAGCCGCCCTTGTGAGGGCCGCCCTGTTTACCCCGAGGGCCCAGGGGGACCAGGGAGGGGCGGAGCAGCTTGGGAGCGGGCCACGCTGACCGCGGAGCCGCGGAGCCAGGTCTGACTTCTTTAAAAACCCGGAACCTTCCTGCTCCCGTTCAGGTGCGAGGTTTGTGTTTTAAGGTCACACAATGGAATTATTAAGGAATTCCTTCTGTTGTTGCTAATCCTCACGCAAGGATGTTTTTTCCCATTATTTTTTAAGAGAGAGTGGATAGAGCGTCGGCCTGCTCACTCCAGGGTCCCAGGTTCGATTCCGGCCAGGGCACAGGCCTGGGTTGCAGACTCAATCCCCAGTGGGGGTGTGCAGGAGGCAGACAACCCATGATTCTCATCATTGATGTTTCTATCTCTCTCTCCTTCTCCCTTCCTCTCTCAAATCAATAAAGAAATATATTTAAAAAAAAAAAAAAAAGGCAGATGATACCCGTACGTTGTTTTGGAGAAGGAAGATAACGTTTCCCCTCTCTTCTGTCCCCGGCTTGCAGACAGCGCTCAGAAGCTGTACGTCAGACTTTTCCAGCGTAAGTTCGGCTGGATTAAGAGGCGTAAATTGGAATACGGAGAGATAGCCCCAGACCTGGCGCCTGTAGTTGGAGAACTGGAGCAAGCTGGCTTTCTGCAGACGGGTACGGCTCCCCCGGGGGGAATGGGACACGAGGCACAGGGAGTTGCATTTCTTTGCCTTTCGGGTAACGAGAGAGCGTCTGCCCTTGTTTTCTTTCTCGTTGTTGCTAATCCTCACACGAGGATATTTTTTTTCCAATGGTTTTTAGAGAGATTAGAAAGGAAGAAGTGAGGGGGAGAGAGAAACATTGACGTGAGAGAGACACACACATCGATCGGTTGCCTCCTGCTCATCCCCGACCTGGGGCCCGGGATCCAACCTGCAACCCAGAGACGTGCCCTTGGCCAGGAATCGAACCCGAAACCCTTCTGTGCTCTTAGGTGACATTCTGCTAGCGGTTCTCAACATTTCGCGACCCACAGGTTGAGAACCGCTGCTGTAGAGCCTAAGACCATGGGAAAACACAGATATTTACATGACGATTCATTAACGGCAGCAGAATTACAGTCATGAAGTAGCAACGAAAATAACTTTATGGTTGGGGGCCACCACCACCACATGAGCTGTATTCAAGAGTCGAGGCATTAGGAAGGTGGAGAACCACCGCCCCAGAGCATGCTGTGACTCTTTAATAATAAAAACTTCCCTTCTTGAAAAACCGCTTCAGAGTCCGAGTTGCGAGAACTCCCGGAGGTGCTGGACCTGCTCTCCGCTCCCGAGCTGAGGACCCTGGCGAAGACCTTCCACCTGGGCTCCGCCGGCCGGCAGAGGCAGCCGCTGGCCAAGGCCCTGCTCCGCCTGGCCCGGCAGCCCTCCGTCTGCCCCCGGGGCGGGAGCCCGCCCGGCGTCGGGGCCGTGATGCTGAAAAGGTCTGGCCGGCATTTAGGAACCGCGACGTGCGCACTAACCTCTGACAGGCAGGGCCTGCTTTCCTTCCGTCGTGGCTGATCTCTCTGGCATTGCAATCGGGGAAGCGGGGGAGCCCTCATCCGTTCCACGAGCCTGGATTCCTCCCTGGCCGGTTACTCGTAATCCCTGGGACAGCATCCTGCTGTCAGGCCACGGAAGTCTGGAGGGCAGGGAATACAGGCGTTAGGCCTCGGTAAAGTCCAGTTACTTCTCTACTCAAGAAAAAAGCAGTTCGAACTACTAATCTCGCAGGATTTAAGAGTAAACGGTTCAGTCAAATTTTTTTTTCTTTTTTGAGGGGAAACTCTCCATTAAGCATAATACTTATCTAAACGGTCCTTGGAGTCTCAGGTGGGAATCGCCCATGTCAAACGGGCGATACCACCACGCGTTTTCCTGCCAGTTTTACACGTTCACGGCCAGCGTCAGCTGCGTCCTGCTCTCTCCTGGATCCGCTGGGGAAGGGAGGGTGGCTGAGGCCTCCCCAAGGCCCTGGGGGCGGCTCTGGGCCCCCGAGAGGCCGAGGCAGGTTCCTGGGTCACACAGCAGGAGGGTGGGTTGGCTGGAGGCGGAGAACAGCGATCAGGACCCCCTTCCCCCCCCACCCCCCACCCCCCACCCCCCACCCCCCGTTGCATCTGAAAACCACCCGATGCCGTGTCGCCCTCTGTGTCTCAGAGCCAAGGACCTGGCGGGCCCGGCGCTGAGGGTGAGCCGAGGCCCGCGGGCCGTGTTCTCCCGGGCCCTGCTGCTCTTCTCCCCGACCGACTCCCCGGAGGAGGAGGACGCCGCCTGCGGGGGGCAGGGCCAGCTCTCCGCCGTGCAGCTGGTCAGCCTGGGCCGCCTGGCCTTCCCCCGGTACACCGTCCGCCGGCACGCCCGCGTCTTCCAGGACAGAGAGGACCTCCTCAGGTCAGCGGCCGCTTCGCCCTCCGCCCGCCGCCGGCTGGCCTGGCTCCCAGGGTGTCCGTCCCCGAGACGCTGCGGGGACCGTGGCAGTGTGCTCAGCCTGGCCGGGGCGGCCGAGGCGGCCGAGTGTCAGCCTGTGAGCCAGGAGGTCACGGACCGGTTCCCACTCAGGGTTGCGGGGCTTGATTCCTAGTAGGGGCGTGCAGGAGGCAGCTGATCAGTGTTTCCTTCTCTCCCTCTTTTCCTCTCTGAAATCAATAGAATACACACACACACACACACACACACACACACACGAGTGGCCAGATTATTATGATCTCTGAACACAGTAATTTGGCCACTCTGTGTGTGTGTGTGTGTGTGTGTGTGTGTGTATACCGTTTCCCCGAAAATAAGACAGTGTCTTATATTAATTTTTCTCCCAAAGTTGCGCTAGGTCTTATTTTCAGGGAAACACGATATCAGAGGCCCGGTGCATGAATTCGTGCATGGGTGGTGTCCGGCCAGCCTGGCCGGGGGGAGGGGACACGGGCGGTCGGCCGGCCTGCCTGCCGGTCGAACTCCCAGTCGAGGGGACCGTGTGCCTATGAGCCTTTTATTCTATAGGATGTGCCCTTCCCCCCAGGTACGCCGACGCCGCCCACAGGCTGAGTGACGTCACCGCGGCCATGGCGGCCGGGAACTGGAAGGAGGCCCAGGCGCTCTGTGAGGGCGCCAGGAGGGACTGGCAGGAGCTGAGAGACCACCCTTCCCTGAGGTGAGGGCGGGGGCTCCGTGAGTGCCCGCCGAAGGGACGCACTGACCGGCTGTTCCTGCCACGGGGGGAGGGGGGGGGTCCTTCACGGAGCACCTGCTGCTTCTGCTCCGGGTCCGCCCGGCCGCGGAGGCCCTGCCTGCTGCCCTGCACGGAATCAGTAGAGGGAAAGGCCTGAGTGTGGGGGTGGGTTTCACAGGACGCGGGCCCTGGTGCAGCACACATTCCTGTGAGCTCGCGGGCGGGCGGGGCGGAGGGCGCTGTCGGTGGCCATCCCGGGGTGCCGGCTTGCCCAGCGACTGCTCAGCTGAACCCAGTGTGCATGGAACCCAGGGGACGGATGTCCTGGGAAGCCTGCCTGCCACACCTGTTCTCTCAGAGGAAATTCAAACAGGTTATTCTGAACAAGAAAACTGAATTGGCCTGGCCGGCGTGGCTCAGAGCACCAACCTATGAACCAGTTCGAGTCCCAGTCAGGGCACAAGCCTGGCTTCAGGCTGCATCCCCAGTGGGGGGGCGTGCAGGAGGCAGGCGATTGTGATTCTCTCTCATCGCTGATGTTTCTGTCTTTTCCCCTCTCCCTTCTTCTCTAAAATAAATCAATATATATCTGTGTACATATAAAATAGAGAAATGTGCTAATTAACTGGTACGCCGTAACGGGCCGATGGACAGCAGCAGGTTGCGTGCCGTCAACTTAGAGAGCAAGGAAGGCGAGAGGGGGAGAGAGAGAGAAACGTGGATGTGAGAGCCGCACCTGCCCGCCTGCCTCCTGCCCGCCCCTCCCGGGGACGGCGCGGGGAGCCGGGAGCCAGGCGCCGGGCACGGACAGGCCTCTCCCGAAAGCCCCGCGTCCCCGCAGGCGCCACGCGGACCTGCCGGCCTTCCTGCGCTGCTTCACCGCCGGCTGGGTGCACACCCGCATCCGGGCGCGCGCCGTGGAGGTCCTGCAGCGGCTGCACCGGTACGAGGTGAGGACGCGGGCCCGGGGCGTGGGGAGGGTCACGCCGAGCCCGGGCGGCACCGGGGAGCGCTCCGACAAGCTCGGAGGGAGCCCACATCTGCCGTGCCGCCCGGACGGCTGTCGGGGGCCGTCTGGCATAGCGAGTCACGGACCCGGAAGGCGGAGGTGTCCCGTTACGGCCTCCTGTGCTGGAGGAGGGCGCTTCTCCGAGGTCATGCGAAGCCGGCTCCTGACCCGAGTCCCCGAGTCCCCGGAGGATCGTGGGAGGGGCTCCGGGGAGTCTGTGGACCCCACACGTGTGTGTCCGTGGGTCCGGCCAGCTCCAAACTCCTGCCAGCGTGACCTGCTGGGCTCCAGGGATCGGGTGGGGCCGCACCTGGAGCCGGTGGCTTGTGTGCAGCCATGCCGTGCAGTGCTCGCGGGCGGGCGGCCGGGGGCCTGCCGGGAGTGGGGAGCCTCGGGGAGCAGGGCCTCTCCGGGGCGGCCTCGGCCTCCTTGCAGGACGGAGCTGGGCTCTGTGCACATCCGCCCCGGCCTTGTTTACTTCTGGTGCGAGCCCCTCTGATGCGCTTCCTTTGTTGTCGCTGCAGGAAGCCGTCCAGGAACTGGAGAGCCTTTTGTCCCAGAACATCTATTGTCCCGACAGCAGGGGCCGGTGGTGGGACCGGCTGGCTCTCAACCTCCACCAGCACCTGAAGCGCCTCGAACCGGTACTGTCATTGGACGGGATCGCCAACAACTAATACCTTAAGAACCAAATGCAATTAGGACATTAGTGTTTTTATAAACATTTTTTTGATTTCAGAGAGGAAGGGAGAGGGGCAGAGAGAAACATCCATGATGAGAGAGAATCATGGACCAGCTGCTCCTGCATGTCCCCCACTGGGGACGGACCCGCAACCCGGGCCTGTGCCTGACCAGGAATCGAACCCTGACCTCCTGGCTCCTGGGTTGATAATCACACCGGCCGGGCAGGACATTCTTTTTTCTCTTTGAATCTTTATTGTTGAAAGTATTGCATTTGTCCCCCCTTTTCCATTGACCCCCTCTAGCCCGCCCCCAGCACCAGACATCCATTTTTTAAACCTTTGCCCATATTGTCCCACCCCGAAAAGAAGTAACAAGGCCGCTAACCGGAGCAGGACAGTGGTGGGACCTGTGCTGGGATTTAGGGCTAATCAGGGGCCAGGAGAGCTGGATGCCTCCGCCCTCAGCGGGCGTTTCCTGCTTGAAAACGGGGGCTGGTTCCTCCGCTGCACGGGGCCTCGAGGTGCTTGCTGGGAGTCCGTGCAGGCACCTTGTGAGTAGCTGCCTCCGGGAGGCCCTGGGCTTCGCCTCTGAGCAGGCCGCCTCCGCTCCGGGGCGTGGTGTCCTCTGGCGGGGACCCTGGACGTGGGGGTGGGGACCTTCTGGGCCGAGCAGAAGGGCCTCCGGAGGCGGTGGCCACAGTGGCCCTTTGTGCGGCCGCCCGAGCCCGCCCGCCCGCCTCCGTGCCAGCCTGGCCGTGGCCACGAACGAGGGCTGTGCCCCTGGCAGCGCATGGAGTGAGTCAGGGTGACATGGGGCGGGAAGATCGGCCCTGGGCGTGGGGACAGGACGGGGGGTGACGGCAGATTTATCGTCCGGGAGGGAGGCCGTGCTGAGGCCGTCAGGGAGGTCCCGGCGCTGACCTCGCTCCCGGGACCCGTTCTTCCAGGCCATCAAGTGCATCGCGGAGGGGCTGGCCGACCCCGCGGTGCGGACGGCGCACCGCCTGGCGCTGTACCAGAGGGCCGTGCGCCTGCGGGCGTCGCCCGGCTGCCGGAGGTACTGGCCCCGCCTGCAGCAGCTGCCGGAGGTCGCCGTGCAGGACGTGAGGCACGTGACCATCACCGGCCGGCTGTGCCCGCAGCTCGGGACGGGCAAGTCCGTGTTCGTGGTGGAGGCCGGGGGCCCGGCCGCGCCCGCCACGGCCCTGTGCTCCGTGGAGGAGCTGGCGCTGGACCACTACCGACGCAGCGGCTTCGACCAAGGTAACCGGCGCCGGCATCTCCCCGGACATCAATAAAGTCTTTAAAAAAGCAAAACAGCAGCAGGAACGCCATGAGAGTGGCATCTGAACCCAAGATGGCTCTGTGGTCCCCTCGGAGCCGAGGAGGCAGGTGGTGGTGGTGGTGTCTGGCCGACGCAGACACGGTCTGTGTGTGTGTGTGGCTTCCTCAGGCATCCACGGGGAAGGCTCCACCTTCATCACGCTGTTCGGCCTCCTGCTGTGGGACATCATCTTCATGGACGGCATCGCGGACGCCTTCAGAACCGCCTACCAGGTACCGGGCGGCCCAGCCCGGGGCTCTCCGGCCGAGCGGCTGTGTTTGGACGCGTCCGTTCAGCCGGCTGGGCCCGTGTCCGGGCGCCACGCATGGGACGGCCTCTGACGCTCGGTCCTCGCCAGGCGTTCCCGCTGGACCTGTGCACCGACAGCTTCTTCGCCAGCAGGCGGGCGGCCATCGAGGCCCGGCTGCAGCTGATCCACGAGGCCCAGGCGGAGGAGCTGCGGGGCCGGGTGGCGGCCACGTGGCGGGCCCAGGAAGGCCGGGCGTCCGTCGTCAGCTGGGACCGCTTCGCTTCCCTGCAGCAAGCGCAGGTGAGGTCTGCAGGCCACCCCCCCCCACTCCGCACACACACACACACACACACACGCACACGGCTGTGTATCTGTATCTGTGTGCGCATGTGTGTATGTAACCGCATCCCAGCCCCGATGCCACAGCCATCCAATGGGACCGTGCCAGGCACCCAAGCTCCGGTTATGCCTTCTCCCAGGCTGACAGCTTCCGTCTGCCTGGCCTTTGGCCCCGGCAATGAGGAGCTGTCCGTGCGGCCTGGCCTCTGCAGGTCATCGCTGTCCTATCCCGAATGGCCTCCTCACGGCCCCAGGCTCTCCCCGCGGGCAGAGGGCGGTCGCTGGCAGGAAAGCTGGCTTCGCAGAGCTGCGGGGGCGTCGGCCGGGGCCGGGGGCACCGGGGCGCTGCTGACCCTGTGCTCCGGGGCCAGGACCTCGCTTCCTGCCTGGGGGGCCCCGTCCTCAGCGGGGTGTGCCGGCGCCTGGCCCAGGACTTCCGGCACTGCCGGGGCGGCCTCCCGGACCTGGTGGTGTGGAGCTCCCGGGACCACCGCGCCAAGGTCAGTGGGGCCAGGCGGAGGGCGGTCTGTAACCCGATTAGCCGCTTCGCCCGAGGCCGGGGCTCCTCGGGGGCGGGCGGAGGCGGCCGGCGTTCCTCGCGTGGGCCTGTGCACAGGGCAGCGTGCGCACGGTCTCTGCTCACCGGTCCCCCTGCCGTCCCATCCTGTGTGCTGTGTTCACACAAGCCCTTCGTCGGGCACACTTCGCCTCGGGCTTGTTGTTTTTTCTTGTTGCCTCAATACGATCTTCCTAAGAGCAGGGGTTTTAAGTATCGACGGTGTCAGTGGGAGGAGCCATTTAAATACCTGGGCCGTCTTCTCCGTTTCCGTGGAGACTAACCCCTGACCTCTGCTCTTCCAGCTGGTGGAGGTCAAGGGCCCCAACGACCGCCTCTCGCACAAGCAGATGGTGTGGCTGGACGAGCTGCGGAGGCTGGGGGCCGACGTCGAGGTCTGCCACGTGGCGGCCGTGGGCGCCAAGAGCAGAGCCTGAGCCGAGAACTGCGGGGGGGAGTCTGAGATCCTCGAGAGCACCAGTGTAATCGGCCGCATTTAGTTTGGATGCCGGTGCCGTCACGAGTAAACCTGGAGGTAAACGTGGTCCTGGCTGGAATACACGCATGCATGCCACACGGCAGGCCGTGAGCTTTGGAAAAGATGGAAACCTTGGTGGCCATTTTAGGATTGGCGACATCTAAGTTACAAAAAAACCCCAAAGAAACAACAACAACAACAAAAAAAATGAAAGGGGAAAAAAAAAAATCCACCAACAAAGGAGACCACTCCCAGCTTTTATAAAAGCAGCCGCACAAGGTTTCCTCCTCCCTTTATAACTGTCCAAGAAGGGCATGGCATGGCGGTGGACGTTCTGGTTTCTTTACAATCAGAACACCAATTCTGAGCCAGTTCCTCACACGCACGCGCACGCACACTCTCACACACACACACACACACTCTCACACACACACACACGCACACACACACACACACACACATGCACACGGCCGGCCGGAAGGAAACGCCCTGGCTTCGGAGCCGCTGCACTGACCCCATGGATGACGCCAAGCAGACAACACAACCGGCGGTCCTTGGTGCCCACCCGTGAGCCCAGTCAATAAACTTCTCTTAAATAAACTTAGATGTTTTTGGTTTTTTAAAATCAGTTTCATCACAAAACAACAGGAAGACACGGTACATCTGTAAGTTCCTGCCAGAGTGCAGGCTGTGATGGCGCGGCCCAGGCCTTGGGCGCGGGGCTGCGGGCCGAGGGGCGCTTTGGCGGGGCGCACGGAGCCCCTGGGGCGCCCGAGGTGCCGGGCAGGGGCGGGACCAGGACTTGGGCTGTGACCGTTGTTCTTCATATCATGCCCAGCGAGCTGTGGCACAATAATCATGACGCAACTGTCCAGCCAGAGACAATGAAAAACCACACTGTACATTTGATCATCATACAAAGACACGCACGTTTCCTGTCTGACACAGCATTAACAGTACCTAGTTTTTTAAGTTGCGAATCAAACATGACGGAAGGAGCAGAGGAAGAAGGGGAGGAGGGAGAATCGGAACCCTCCCGAGGTCACTGGCTCTCGCTCTGTCACCATAAGGAGGCAGATTGTGGCAGAAGGACCGGGCGTGGCCCATGGCAGGGCGATCGCTGTGTCCCACGGGGGCGGGGGGACGGGAGGACAGGCTCCCGGAAAGGACTGTGAAGCACTCAACGGCAACGACTGCTATCCATCAGGGGAGAAAAGCCCTTTTCCTCCAGGCAGCGGGCTGGCAAGGACCCTGGGTGTGTCCGCCAGACCAATCTCCTAAGACTCAGTAGGAACACCTATCCCTTTGATTCAGACACATCATCTAACAGTTTATAAAAGGCAGATAATTCAATAGAAACAGCTATCTGTGACGTATAAAGGTAAGACTTTTGAAAAAACCTGTTTTAGAAAAGGAAGTCAGCGAGCTAGACGCCGTATTATAAAACGTTTATAAAAGCTCAGGATGACAGTTTTAACAAGGTAACAGCCAGACTCGGAGACGTTCGCCCTGTCAGCGGAATGAGGGCGCAGACACCCCCGCCAGCGTGAGCTGGGCCCGCCTCGCGGCTTTGGCTTTGGCGCACAATTTCAAGACTAGGAGCCTCAGACCAGCAACGCCCCGCCCGCCCCTCTGCACACTGCGATCAAAAGCTGGGGGTGTGGAGGCCTCTTGCTATTTATCAAAGTGGCAGGACTCCGAGTGGCTGTTTTTTTCTCTTGTTCTCTCCACCTAAGCCTTTTACGAACTTGGTCTGAACCCCAGCTGATGTGGCTCAGTGGACAGAGTGCTGGCCTGCAGACCGAAGGGTCCCGGGTTCAATTCCAGTCAAGGGCACGTGCCTGGGTTTTGGGCTCAATCATAAGTGGGGGTGGGCGGAGGGGAAGCCCTCCTGGGGTTGGCTCCGTGCGAACGGCCTGGCCCCTCGCCCCAGGCCTGCTGTGGCCCTGGGGCCTCCCAGACGGACGGGACATTGCTCTGGGGACTCCTGCCTGTTGGCGCGAACTTAGTGTGAAAGGCCCGTCTCAGTACGCAGCGGGATGGGAACTCCCTAACCGCAAAGACAAACTCTCCTTAACCATGCTACTCAGACCTTCATCTCAGCGTCAAAGGCACTTCTACGTTCCGTTATCTACAGCAAACGCTTCTCAAAGTTCACAGTGCACATCGGTTTAAGGCTAGCTCGAGGGCGGTGAGGGCACACGCACGGTTTTAAGACACAGTGATCTCCGGTCCCGAGCGATGGAAGTAGATTCCAGTGCTCGACCTTGGTCCCCGGGGAGTTCAAGGAGACACAGACGACAGAAAGGCACCGGAGACAGACACCGATACCTCCTGCCGGCTGCTGGGGGCCGGCGACGCTCCCCGAAAACAGGCTACACACTACTCCGCCCTCTCCTGACTGCGGCTCTGGCTGCGGACGCGCCCTGATTCCCGCCGCCGTCACGGCAGTACGCGGGGATGCCTGCCTGCGGGGCAGCAGAGCCGGACCTGGACATGGAAAGGGACATCGAGACCCGAGTGAACGCCCGTCTCCTAGCGACGGCGAGGGAAGCACGCACGGTTCAGCATGTTCCCAACGTTAGTGCAGATCTCAGCGGTCACTCGTACGTATGGCAGCAGCAGGGCGCCGAGCGCCCAGGCTGGCAACGCGAGCCGGGGGAGGACGCCCGGGACGCGCCCGCTCAGTCCTCGGGGGCCAGCGTCTCCGTGGACAGCCAGGTCTTGGCGCCGCTCAGGAACGCGCTCAGCGGCGTGCCCGAGATGCTGCGCCGGCAGAGGTTGCCGACGGGGGAGAAGGGGAAGGAGGAGGAGAGGAAGGCCGGCGTGCCCGAGGCGTCCTGGGGGCCGCGGGCCCGGAAGTACATGCGGCTCTGGCCGAGCTCGGCGTAGGCGGCCTCCAGCGGGCCGGCCCGGTGCTGCCGCAGCGTCCTGCTCAGCACGTCCACCTCGTCGGCCAGCAGCGAGAGCCGGTGGAAGGCGGTGATGAAGCCCCCGCGGTCGATCTGGGCCTCGGGGACCCAGCGGAAGTAGCACAGTTTCCAGAGCTTTATGTGCGCGCCCGACAGGCGGGGCAGCAGCAGGCCGTGCAGGTCGGCCGGCCTGCAGAGCCACTCCCCGAAGAACCGCTCCAGGCCGCCGTCCGGGCCCCCGGCGTGCGGAGGCGGCTCCGGCCTCACCTGCAGGATCAGGGAGTTCCTGCGCGGGAGGGAGTCCTGGTCGCCGAGGAGTCCGTTCCGGAGGGAGGCGGGCATGCCCCGCAGCGTGGAGCTGCAGTTTCTCTGTGCGGGCGGGAGGGAGAGGTTAGCACAGGCGGCTTCCCTTCGGAAAGACAGCCAGGGTGCAGGCCAAGCAGACCCTCGGGGCTACGAGACAGGAGGGGCTTCGGCCTGGAGGACTGAGCTCCTGCCCTCCCAATGCTCCTCCCTCCGCTGTGTGCTCCTCCCTCTGCTGTGTGCTCCTCCCTCCGCTGTGCCTGCTTCCCCAGCCTGAGGCCACTAGCTCTGCCTACGAGCAAATTCCAGAAACCTAACATGTCACTGGTAATAAAACGTAAAAAGAGCTAGCCAACCTTGATGGCTCAGAATGGTCAGAGCTATTAACTCATTGTCTAGTTGAGATAGTGGTGGTTGAGGCAACTTTAATTTGTTAATCATATGTAAACTAAGTTGATTTTCTGTTGTTGGAACTTCCCACCTAAGAGATGTCTTTGTTTCAGAATCTCAGTAAAAGGAATGGTAAAAGGCCAGAGCAGGGGTTAGTCTTCCCACTAGAGGTGGACTTCCCGCCTGGCCCCCATTTTCCCAAATTAACTCTTTTCCAGTCTCTCTCTTCATTTTAGTGTGCGGCCTCCTCCAGAAGCCGGACCGAGTGGGCCCTGAGCCACGTGGGTCGTGTTAAGGGATCCCACGGCTTCTGGCTCGGAGCAAACCTAGGCTGGCTGAGTCTAGAAGGAACAACAGGCAGAGTGCGGGTCTCCCAGGCCCAGAGCTGTGACCGCTGACTCTCAGACGCTGCCCAGGGCTCCGGGGCCTCCGGTGGAGGAGGGAGTCCCGTGGGGTAAAAAGTGCCCGAGCCCGCCAGGCCTGCCCTGCAGACAGGCTCGTCCCTCACAGGGAGGGCTGACCTGTGAGGCGGTGCTCTGGGAGGAGTTTCGGGGGCGCCGTCTCACCTTGGTCCGCTTGAAGGCCTTCCCGGAGCTGTTGCGCACGCAGGGCGCGCTCCTGCCGACGTACAGGGGGTTGTGGAAGAGCGTGCGGTCCTTGGCGGTGAACTGCAGGGACCAGTCCCACACCGAGGGGAACTTCAAGCCCTTCTCGTCGCCGAGCTGGATGTTCCTGCTGATGGCAAACTCCTGCAAAACACAACGTTGGATCTCTGGAAAAGACGCCGAGGGTTTCCTCGCGGGAGCTCCTGGTCTGGGATTGGACCGTCAGACCCAGAGCCACGCGGCCCACGAGGGCGGCACGTCTTCCCTCCATGGGGCACCTCCGGCCGAGGACACGCCGTGCCCTCGTGAGCGAGCGCGCGCTCTTCCCGAGACGGGAGGAAGCCACGGGCACGTTGTCAGCGAAGCCAGGTCTCATCCGTGTGCTGCCGCCAACACCCATGTTGTCTCACAACTGCAGTATCTTACCCGTGAGCCCGTGAGCATACGTTTGTGCGGTTAGCTGTCAGGATTGAAACTGTCTTTGCTGGCATGCACGTATGCTTCACCCATGGACACAGGCAACAGGGTGGTGAAGGCCTGGGCCAGGGGGCAGGGTGGCTGCTGTAATATTTCAGCAATACAGCTTTTTTTTTTTTTTAACAATACAATCTTTATAAAAAAAAGAAAAATTGAAACCAAAGCTGCCTCTGGCTGGGGCGGCTGCCGTCTCTCCAAGTGGAGAGCCCGGCCACCCGTCCAGGGGCCGCAGTGCCGGGACCCGCGGTTGAGGGACGCACTGGACGTGCACGGCCTCCCGACGGAGTGCCACACCGCGCCGCCCCCAGCCCTCACCGTGCTCTGCTTCACCCGCTGGTGCGGCGAGTTGAACAGGAAGGTGCCGAACAGGGAGATGCGGGTGCTGTCGCCCAGCACGGCCAGGTAGGTCTCGGAGAACTCGAAGGCGGCCGGGAACTGGTCCAGCAGCTGCCACGTGGCGTCCAGGAACAGCAGGAACAGCGGCGACTGCAGGTGGGACCAGAAGTGGGCTACTGACCGCGTCCTCCGGTCACACACTCACTTCAAGCTCATTGCTGCCGTGAGGAAGACACGAAGACGGAGCCCTGGCCCGCAGCCCGGCCCAGAGGAGCCGAGGACCTGGGAGCGACAACGCAGCTCAGGTCCCCCTGGAATGAGCACGGCAGCCCGCCTTTCCGGAGGCGTGGGGAGCGGGGGAAGCCACCCACAGGCCGTGCGCCCGCAGACGGGGCGGGAAACCTGGAGCCTCGCCTGGACGCACGGATTAGCACGTAAACCCACAGGACACCCGGCCACGCCCAGCTCTGTAAATAGCTTCTGGTTGACCCTGCAGGCTCGGCTTCCAGAAACGTCCCCGAGTTTCCGAAAATGACGGGATCCCAGGCCACAGGCCTCGCCCCAGGGAGCACGGGCAGCGCCTCCTCTGAAACAGCCCCGGCTCCGCTAGGGATCGAGGCGGCCCTGACCCCACCATGCCCGCAGGCCCCCGCTCTTCCCTTCCGGTTCCCCCGTTTCTCCGGGCAGCGGCAGCGCCCTGGAATGCTCTGTGGCGATGGAAAGCCCCGCCCGGGACCGGGGCCAGGCACAGTGCGTCTGCGACAAGCCCCCATTCTTAACAGGCGCCCGCGGACAAAAACGTGGCGTTACAAAGCGGGTGTTCCAACAACCTAACGTGCTGGCCATCTGCCCTGTGGAAGAGTGGACGCAGCTCAAGTATTTTCAACTCGGAGGAACCCCACCGCCACCTGCCAGGCGTCACCCCCCCACGTGGGCTCGGATCCACGCGTCCGGCCCAGACTGTGAGCTACGCAGCGTTTAAAAGTCCCCCCGTCACCCGGCCGGCCGGCGCGGCTCAGTGGTGGAGCATCGACCTGTGAACCAGGAGGTCAGGGTTCGATTCCCCAGTGGGGGTTGTGCAGGAGGCAGCCGGTCCATGATTCCCTCTCCTCACGGATGTTTCTCTCTCTCTCCCTTCCCTCTGACATCAGTAAAAGTTATTAAAAGGAATAGGAAGCCCCGTCCCTCCCGGGGAGCACTCCCCGCCCCGCAGACGGGCGTCGGCACCTGCTGCGTTACCTCCTTCTCCGACCTCTTGAGGTGGTTGCACCGGTCCAGGAACTGGTGCCCCGCCATCACCCACTCCTTCTGAACCAGGCTCTGGAACCCGGGGATGGTCCTGAAGTAGGGATCCAGCATCACTTGCACGAGAGATGCAACCACGCAGCTCAGGTCTCTGCCCTCCTCCTCTGTCGGAACGGAGAGAGAACGAGGACGTGGGAGCATGCCCGAGCTCACACTGACTGCAGCGTCAACCGCGCCTGGGGAGCATGCACCACTACTGCTCCGGAGACGTCCGAGTGTCTTTACTGAAGCCGCGGCCCTGGACAGCCGGCAGAAATGCTCGGTGCGCTCCGGCTGCACGCGTGCTCACATCCTGTGCAACGTGGCTTCAGAGCACCAGCAGGAAGCTCAGGGCTTATCAAACCGCATTCATAAGCTTAGCAATTCTACTGGCTGTGCGGTTAGTCAATACTTAAGTACGTTTTGCTAACAGAAAGGTTTTATATTGCAGCCCTGACCGCTGTGGCTCAGTGGATAGAGCGTCAGCCTGCGGACTAAAAGGTCCCCACCCGGGTTCGATTCAGGTCAAGGGCATGGACCTTGGTTGTGGGCACATCCCAGTAGGGGGTGCACAGGAGGCAGCTGATCGATGTTTCTCATCAATGTTTCTAACTCTCTATTCCACTCCCTCCCTCTCTGTAAAAAAAAAAAGATCAATAAAATGTATTTTTTTTAAAAAGTTTTTATATTGCAATTACTCCTGCTAACCAGTAGACAAAATCCACATTACTGGCTCTCCGAGTAGGTCAATTTCTCGACACCACCCTGTTTCTTTAGAGGTACAGGGAGCCGGAGCTGGAGCATTCACACCCATTTAGTATGAGTGAGGCACACAGCACGGTTAGAGAGAGCACGCCTGGCCGAGACGGACCCCCGGCGAGGCTCCATGAGGACTGGGAGTGCCTCCCCAGCTCAGAGTGGAGGATGTGCCTCCCTCCTGCCCGCCCACGCGCAGTCTCTGTGCCCTTCTGTTCTGACGTGTAAGGCCCGGGGTGTCTGGCGGCAGGGTCGTCAGGAAGGGACGGCTGACGTCACAGACACGGACTTGGCCGTGGCCGTGGTGCCCACGCTGGCTGTGACGGCCACCGCAGGGAGGGAGTCACCTTGGAGGACCACAGAGACCCGCCTGCTGTCCAGCGTGTACACGAGTTCTGCCGAGTGTCTCAGGAACGCCCTGGGGAGCGGAGAGAAAAATACTGTGAAAAACACCATTTCCACGATACAGATGCCTTTAAAGACCTTAAAATCAAGCAAACCTAATATTCCACCGCACACATCTGTATTCTCCAGAACCTTGGTGCGTTTCACCAGAATTTATGTGACTCTTCAACAGGGGACAGTCCGGTTTTTATATCCGGGAAACTCCCAGCCGCCGCTCCACCTGCTGATGGTGCCGTCAGGGGGTGCCAGTGGGCCAGTGGGTGCCAGTGGGCTGGCGCTGTCTGCGCATGGGAGCGGCGGGGACAGGAGCGGTCTGCCGGCAGACAGGACTCGGGGGCCGTGGTGGGAACGGATCGAATGACAGGACAGCCGAACCACCAGTTCCTTTCAAGGTGCATGCACTTGTGCACTGGGCCCCTAGCTTCAAAATATAAAGTCGAAGAAAAAGAGGAAAGTAGTTGTACAAACCTCACGTATTCTAGCCACCGAGTGCTTTCCAGCGAGGATAGCCATCTCTCTTCGGTCTCTTCAAAGGGCTCTGTAATAACATCATTTACAGGCATGCAGTTATATTCACACACACACGCTTTCAGGCGGTTTAAGCTTATTTTACATGATTAATACCAGAGTTAAGTGGTATGTCATTTTTAATATTAAAAAGTGGCTTAAATCTCAGTGTGTAAGTTGTTTTTTCATAAAAGCACCCCACCCTACCTGTCATGATTTCAAGGTGATTTATTTGGCTCATTTTCCCTCCCTAATGGAAAGCATTTGTTTGCAGTTTATTCTCCTGACCTTCTCATACAGTAATAATTTGTACAAACATTTCAATAAACCTCTACTTAAATAAGTCTGTTTCTACAATTTTAAGGAATATCACTTTTCCTGACACGCCTCATACAATGCTGTATTCCCCCATTCACTGCGCACGCAAACGTAAATATACATATATATGTATGTATGTGTATATAAAATAAAAAAGACATTACCGTTGACACAGAGGTGTTTCAGCTTTACAAAAGCCGCTTGTATTTCTTGGATGTTGGGCAGGGTCTTATCCAAATCCGACTTATGAACGTCACTCCTCTGCGGGTGGCTCTTGGTTATTGCGTTACAGATCCTAAGGAAGACAAAATCCTCAGTCACTAGTCACCCATGTATTCCACACGCATTTCCTGACCAGCTCCCCTGAGCCACTCGCTGCCCTGAGAGCTGGGGACAGAGATAACAGGACAGGCCGGCCTCGGCCTGCATGGTTTCCCTCGGGGGGCGTGGGGGAATGAGGCACTCGCGCCGGGTGAGCCCCGCTGAGGGGGTGTGTTCAGGGGAGCGAGGGCGAGCCCGGCCCCGCGGTCAGAGAAGCCCCAGGGAGCTGATGTGCGGCCAAACCCGAGAAGACCAGGAGCCGTCGCCGACCTGGGGGAAGGGTTCCGGGCAGACGACAGCTGGTGCCAAGGGCCTGCGCAGGACCCAGCGGAAAGGACGTGTGCGCAGTGGCAGGAGGCGGGGACGCTCGGACACAGGGAGGAGAGAAAGAGGAAGCATCGGGAGGGACCCAGGTCCTGAGAGCAGCTGGGAGGGGCGCGAGGCCTGTGTCTGAGCTGGTCTTGGACAGGATGAGCTGACGGGGCCTGAGCGTGTTTTCTGGGCCTCTGGGGTGAACTAACACGGCCAGCCAGCCCCCCCGTGTCAGCCGGCCCGTCCCCCTGTATGGGCACCTCTGGTCGATCTTCCGCTGCTGCAGGTCCTTGACGAGGGCCGTCCGCACCAGGGCACTGCCGTTCGGGTGGCTCCAGCTCCACAGCTGCAACGGAGACAGCCCCGTGTGAGCGGGCGGGAGACGGGGCCCCGTGTGAGCGGGCGGGAGACGGGGCCCCGTGTGAGCGGGCGGGAGACGGGGCCCCCCGTGCTCTGAAATCCAACAGCTGTCACTCACCGGCATCCTTCTTCCGACGAAAGAGTGGGAGAAGGTCTTCAGGTCCTGGTCGGCCAGGGAGCTGGGCACCACGAAGTATTCTGGAAGGCTGAGGGGAGAAAGCAGACCACGCCATCAGGCCCGTGCTGTGGGCAGGGCAGGGAGCCGTGACCACACGGGTAATCAAACCCATTCCTCCCCCGAATGTGCACCCCACTCCGCAGCCATCCCGTGGACACTGAGGACACTGACCGTCCCAGACGTCGCATGTCTGATGCGGCCACGGACAGACCTCCTAGGGGAGCAGGGAAAAGCCACAGGCGGGGTGGGAGTGTTGTCCAGAATGACTATCAGGCCAGCAGGACTGAAAAGCACACCCACCACCGCTCTCCTGACGGCTAAGACCCCTGAAACCCAGCAAACCCGCCCAACTCCCCACTCCCCCCCCCCCCATCCAGAGACAGGCCGACTCCAGGACCCCATCCGACAGCAGTTCCTCGGGGGCAGCCCCATCCATGTAGGACACCCCCCTCCTTTCCTCCCCGCGGCCAACGGACCATGAGACATTTACAAGATGCAGACACACACGCACACGCACACGGGATCGCGGCTCCTCGGGACTCACCACGTGGAGATCATGTAGCCCTCGTTCACGGAGCTCACTCTCCACCCCGAGGCGCCTGTCCGCTTGACCTCGCGGTCCCAGTCGGAGTAGGCCTCGAAAAGCGGCGTCTTCTGGGCGCCGCCCGGCCCGCCGCCCGCCGGGAGCCCGTTGGGCGTGCTGGCTGCGAGGAAGAGCAGCGTCACTGGGTGTGTTCGCACCCGCCTCCGGCCCGCCGTCCTCTCTCTGTCCACACCCTCAGGGCTCCACCCAGCGTCCGAGGGCAGTGACCCTGAGGCCGCGTCAACAAGAGGAGCCTCGCTGAAAGCGCCTGTCCTGCGGAAGGCCATGGTGTCCAGGACGTCGCGGGCCAGCACTGCGCGCCGAGGCCGAAGGCCACGCCAGAGGCTCGCACTCCCTCAGGAGCACAGCCTGGCGCCTGTCGCTTTACAAGGATGACCCCGTGCTCTCGGACAGCGTCTGCCCGCGAACCAGCTGACCGGGGAACAGCCTCGTGGCTTCTTTCCTTCAAAGGCCCCTTGTTCCCTGGGCCGCAGTGACCAGCGCTCTGGGCTCATCCCTCCTCCGTCACGGCCACTGCGTGGGGCCCAGGCCGTCCGACCCCCCTCAGGGCACTGCGGGGACACCTCGCCCTCGGGCCTTCCTGTGCCAGCAGCCCTGCCCCCGGCCTGCCCGCAGGAAGGACTCTAACCCGCCGGAGCCCAGAGGCCATCCAGAGGCTCCGGGGGGCCCTGGGCCGCTCTCACTCGCAGGCCCGGCCTCTGGCTGCGGAGTCGGGGGTCTCAGGCTCCGTCAGACCCTAACGAAGCTGCTGATGCTTCTGCAAGAGCATGGAGGGCGTCAAAGGCTGAGGAGCCTTCACAGAACACTGGCCCAGGGTCACGCTTAGGAAGTACTTGCTTGAGGAGGAGGAGCTTTAAGTATGTGTCATGTTATCCACAAGCTACACGTAAGGAGTCACAGAGAACTGACTGATACGCACAAGGAGTTCAGGGGAAGGCTCTGGGCTGAATAAAGCACTTGAGGTCTCATTAACCCGGAGAGGCCCCCAGGACCGGAGGAGGAACACCGAAAGGAAGTGAAGCAGCAGCAGGTCAGCCACCGCAGAACGAAGCTCCTGAGCCTGAGGCTGAGGCCCCGTACGCTGGGCTCCGCCGTTTTTCTACCGGAAAAGCAGCATCAGCAAGAACTGGCCCGGATCCTCAAGCAACGTAAACGGGAGGTGGCGACCGTCCTGCCACTCCCGTACCCCTGAAACATCCCTCCTAGCTGCTGTCCTTGACCGTGGCCCTTGACCGTGACCCTGATGACGGCTCAGGGCTGACCCAAAGGCAGACAGACTCTCCTGCCCGACAGCCAGGACCTACGCTGCTTTCACACAATCAGGAGTTCCTTTACGTTCAGAAGTGAACTTATGTCAACTGCGCTGTTCAAGTCTAGATTACAGCGAGTTACGTTTTGGTGAGAAAAACGGTCACACTCCATAAACACCGTGCCACGAGGACAAAGCGCCCTCTGACAAGCATGACCTCGTGTCCTCCGGGAAAGAGCCCTCCCCGGGGTCTTCCAGAGCAGTGAGCCTGCCTCACGCCTCACGCAGCGCGGGTCCCGTTCCCACCTCAACGCCTGTACAGCCTAGTGACGCTGCGGTCACTCCACTCCGCAGATTACCCAAATCACTACCACACGTTCCGAGGCAGCAGAATGTCAGGACCGGTGCGGTTAGTAAGTTATAAGACCCCTCCAGGCCGTGCTGGGCGAGGGACCTTTCACTGTGAATGTGTAACTGATTTACTTTTCTCCCGCGAGGAGGGGGCGCCCACGTGCCTCGGTAGGCGCGAGCCCACAAGGGGCCAACGTAAGACATGACCTCTTCGTCTCCTCCCCATTCTCTTATGAGGCTTTAAGAAATGGTTGATTAAAATGACGTTGGTATATGGAACTCATGTACAGAATCACATGACCATCTGGAGTTCTCCGTGGTGATGTCATCGCCGACACAGATATGTGGACAGAACTGTTGTATGTTTATAAAAACTGCCCCGCCCTCGCCTGTGTGGCTCAGTGGATAGAGCATCGGCCTGCAGAATGAAGGGTCCCGGGTTCGATTCCGGTCAAGGGTGAGTGCCTCAGTTGCAGGCTCGACCCCTGGACCTGGTTGGGTGCGTGCAGGAGGCAATCAATCAGTATGTCTCTCTCATCATCGGTATTTCTCTCCCCTCCTTCCTCTATGGAATCAATAAACAAGCCCTGCCTCTTCCTTCCCTCAATCTCATTCTGTTGTGAAGTCCACTAAAAAGCGTCACCACCTCAGCTTCTGAAATCACACCTCGCCAGAAAGATGGTGCGTTTCAAACATCTCTTCGTTTCCTGCCAGGTTTCTTTTTTTCTTCAATACTACATTTTTAAAAATATATTTTTATTGACTTCAGAGAGGAAGGGAGAGATAGAAACATCAATGGTGAGAGGGAATCATTGACTGGCTGCCTCCTACATGTTGGACCCAGCCTGCAACCCAGGCGTGTGCCCTGACCGGAATCGAACCTGGGACCCTTCGGTCCGCAGACTGATGCTTTACCCACTGAGCCACACCGGCCAGGGCTCCTGCCAGGCTTCACCGAAGATGACATTCACTCAGGCTCCAGTTGGAAGAGGCGAATGCACCACCCCCGGCACAGGCACCAGCTGACCCGGGGCAGACGAGGGCCACTTCCTGTTCCGGCCGCTCACCGCGCTGCCTGCCGCCCTTCAGGAACCCGGCAGCCCCGTCCGCAGGCAGCGCCTCCTCTCTCGGGCGGAAGCCGGCCCCCCACAGCCCACGGCGCCTGTCACAGCGGCTCCTGAGGAGCGCCACGCGAAGGGACAGCCATAACACGTGACGTTCTCCTATTTACCTGAGCTGTGGTACTTCTTCCCAACGTACTCAAAGGCAAAGAGGAGCTGGAGGTCTGTTGGCTGGGAGTAATGAGCTATGGCAAGGCACACCTAGGAGAGAGTCTGCATTTAGAATTCCGCGTTCACACACGAGGTCAGGGACATGTACGCCAAGGCCTGGCTGTGGGCGCGTCCCGGGGCAGGGGCTGCTCTGTGGACCGGGGACGTGGACGAGCCCCCGGGAGCCGGGTGCTCACTCACGGCCCCCGAGACCCTGTGAACCTTCAGTGAGCAGGTGGCATTCAGCAAGGGCCTGCCGAGTTGAATTTTAACAGGAAAGTAATTTCATTCAAACGAGTGACCCTTGAAAACCAGAGAAGCATTCTCCCAAAAGGCGGTGAGCAGAACACCGACGCCTAGAAGAGAGAAAGCCTCAGCTTGAGCGTCTGCAAAACGGAGACGGAGCCACAGCCGGGCGGGAATCGCTCGCGCTGATGCCCCGTGGCCTCCGGGGAGCAGCCGGCAGGAATGTCCTGCTCGTTCTGCCGCCGACCGAGCCCTGGGCTGGCCAGTGTAGGAAACACTCTGGGTGCGCGAGGAGGAGGAAGCTGGAGACAGTGCACGCAGAGGACGGCAGAGCCCTCCCTGAGAAAGAGGCAGGAAAAGCACGAGGCCGCACGACCTACGCGGACAGTGAGCGAGCGGGGAAGGTGCTGTCAGCTGTTGGTGGGGGCGGGCTGATCAAATCCTATTAACTGGTGGGTGGGTGTCAGCTTCGGGCTTAAGACGGAATGAAAAAGCTTCCCGCAGAACGCTTCCTGCCTCACCAATTCCTCTAAAAAAAGCGGTGGGGCGGGCGGGGGGAACGTGGGGCCACTGAGAAATGCAAACTTCCCCCCAGAGAACTGAAATGGATCGGGCACAACCCGGGACCGGGCCGAGCTGAACCAGAACAAAACCAGCCACCACCTTTTTGGCACTTTCGGGCCCGGATTCATCAAAGCGAAAGCGGACGATCCTGAAGTCTTTGCAGTAAATGATTAACTCCGTTGGGTTGAACTTCAGCTTCTGGTTGGGGCCCAGGACCTTCTGCTTCCTCTTGTGGTCATTCACTGAGGGAGGAGAGCACAGCGTGAGCACGTTAGTTCTCGTTTCTCTCTCCGCGGCTTCCGAACGCGCGCGCAGCGATGGCGACTGGAAGGACACCCACCCCCGAGCACCGCCTCCCGGGCCCTCTCACCACTTATCTGTGCGTCTTCGCACTTTGGGGGATTGATTTTAATTACTTATTTTTAATCCATCTTACTGATTTTTTAAGAAAGGAAGGGAGAGGGATAGCTAGAAACATTCATGAGAGAGAAACATCCATCAGCCGCCTCCTGCACACCCCCTACTGGGATGTGCCCGCAACGAAGGCACATGCCCTTGGCCGGAATCGAACCCGGGACCGTTCAGGCCTCAGCCCGACGCTCTATCCACTGGGCTGGGGGATCGATTTTAACTTTGCTTTTGAAGGTATTTTAAATGATTGTTTGCACACCAACCACCACCATCTAGATACATTTTATGATTAAAATTTTAATTTAAAAGAGGACAAATACTAGGAATTATAAAAAGCGATTCATTTTATATCTCCATTTTAAATTAATTTTTTTACCTCTGTCTTTAATGAATGTTCCTGGGACTCAAAAAAAAAAAAAAAAAAAAGGAGAAAAACCTATAAAAATAAACTTCCAACCCAAGTATCTGAGTATCTCCAAACAATTCCTCCGGAGTAGAATCAGCTTTAGGGACTAAGTAAAGAATAATATGGCCCAGCCAGTGTAGCTCAGTGGTTTGATTCGCGGTCAGGGCACATGCCTGGGTTGTGGGCTCCATCCACAGTAGGGGGCGTGTAGGAGGCAGCCGAGCCATGATCCTCTCTCACCACTGATGTTTCTATCTCTCTCTCCCTCTCCCTTTCTCTCTGAAATCAATAAATATATACATGTATATATGTATTTACATATAAAAGACTAAGTGACCGTCCGGCTGTCCGGCACATGTGACACACACTGACCACCAGGGAGCAGACGCTCAAAGCAGGAGCTGCTGAGCTGTGGAGACTCGGGAGCAGAGAGGATGAAGCCCCATTTCTCCTAATTAGCTTCCTTCCAATGTGCATGGATCTGTGCCCTGGGCCACCAGGACACGTATGAAAAGAAGAGCACATACCTGCAACGATTTGCTCTATACACGTTAAGGGGACATCATGCTCGCCGAGAAGAAGGTTCCGGTAATGGAACTTCTGAAACACAAAGCCACGTCCACGTCAGCTGTTTTCCCGTGGCCCGCGCACTGGGGACAGCAGCCCTGACGCACTCCCGGCGTCAGAGGCCTCGGCACAACCGCACCGACAGGACCTACCTGCAAGGGCATCGGGTCGTCCGTGACGAAGGAAATTTTGAAGTTGCTGCAAATCAGCTTCCCCCACAGGTCGTACTGACTCGTGTCGGTTGCAATGCACTTTCTCACAAAGCTGACTTCGTTCACAACAATTTCTCCTATAAAAAAGGAAAGCCATCGTTTGTGCGCCACCTCCCCACCGTAGCGCGTCAGCAGGCGCTGAGCGACTGATGTCAGGACGGCGACAGTGAGGACCGTGAGCACACAGCGCATCCAAGAGGGTCTTTCCTGAGGGACGCACGGCTCAACATGAAGCAGCTCACCGCGAGCAGAACACAGAACAGCACACACGGGCGAGCGTGCCACGGGGATGTACAGGCACACGAGACCTCCCCAACCAGGCTGCCTTCATTTCCAGACGGCGGCCCATGGCCGTGTGCTCCCCCGATCCGATTACAAAGCCTGACAATCAGTGCGTTCACTGTCACTGGACGTGTGGCTCACCGTGAAAACACCGCTGCCCCCGCCGAGGGGGACAGGGACAGGGCGGAGCCCACACGCAGCCTGAGCAGGGCCGAGCCTGGCGGGCACTCAGGTGCCGAGCGGGAGCCCTTCCCGGATCGGCCTCCCGCCCCGATCTGGCTCAGGGGACCCTCCTCGGCGCCTCGCCGCCCTGCCTCCCTCCAGGGGAGCATGTCCCCAGCGCGCTGGCACTGACCAGGGCGGGACCCTGTCTCCTCCAGCTCCCGACTCCTCGGCCTGCAGTGAGGACCAGGGGATCGGAGCCTGCAGAGCGGCAAGGTGGCCGAGGCCCAGTCTCCGGCTTACTTCCTGAAGCAGGCGAGCCGAGACCGCCAGCACACGCCACAGCCTGGTCGCACTGTGTCTCCGCCCCCCCCCCTCTCCCCCCGCTTCATAAAACGAGGCTCGTTTTAAATTCAGGCTCCCATTCCGCCGGTAACCGTACACAAACAATGATTCTGTGTTCTGACTCTCATCTGCTTACTGGGTTACGGGTTCAGGCTCTGGGCAGCTGGGGGCAGGGATGTCCTTGAACCCCAGGCGCCGTGCCAAAGCAGAACACGTGAGGCCGCACGGGGAACAATGGCTCCTTGTCCCCGGTGCCACGTGGAGCCACGGGGGACCCGCCACGGCTCCGCGTGGCTTCTGACGGCCGAGGGCCGGGCCCTCGCGGCCTCACTCGCTCCACTGGTCCCCTCGATCGGGGGGAGGCTGAGAGCAGAGGAGGGGCGGCGAGGTGCCGGGTGTGTGTGTGTGAGTGTGAGTGTGTGTGTGTGTGTGTGTCCCCGGAGAGGGGGCGGGACAGGCGAGGCAGGAAGCAGAGACCACGACGGGGCGGCCAGACAGAGACCGGGAAGCGCGTGGGAAGGACAGACGAGAGGGCAGGCGGCAGACACGCTAATTTGGGGTTGGCGAGAGGTTCGGGAAGGGCTAGGCTGAGTGCAAACAGAATGCTGGGGCCACCACGGGTGTGAGCTCAGAGCCACCGCAAAACGCCAACACCGGTCAGGACGGCCGGACTGAGCCGCGGCGCCCGGACAAGCAGACCTCGCAGTTAGAGAGGCCCCCGGCCGCCCCAGAAACCTGCGCCTTTTAGGCAGAAAGGGACGCTCTGGGGCTGATTCTACAGAACAGATGACCCCCGAGGGACAGTCCTTTAAGCCTATGGACGTTAACATCCCCATCAGCTCGTCTCAGAGGTGAGAGCGACGTTTAAAAGCCCAGTCCCGAAGGGTCCCGGGTTCGATTCCAGTCAAGGGCATGTACCTTGGTTGTGGGCATATCCCCAGTAAGGGGTGTGTAAGAGGCAGCTGATCGATGACTCTCTCTCATCGATGTTTCTAACTCTCTATCTCTCTCCCTTCCTCTCTGTATAAAATCAATAAAATATATTTAAAAAAAATAAAATAAAAGCCCAGTCCCGCATCTGCAGCCGAGACCGCCTACGGGCGTCAAATCCTAACACGGAAGCGGGACTGAAACCCGACCAGGGGAACGGGGGGGGGGGGGGGGGGGGGCTGTTCTGACCCAGGGAGTCTCCGGGGAAGGACACTGTGCCCTGGGGGTGGGCGCCGGGGGGCCGCTTGGGGGACGCTGGAGACTCGCTGGTGGTCTGGATGAGGCGGTGGAAGAGGGGGACCCCCCCAGTGGATAAACACCCTGCCCAGCACAGAACAGCCCCTTCCACAGGACAATGGGCCCCAAAACGTCAAGCAAAATGGGCCTCTGCGGGGAAGGGGCACCCACAGAAACAGCTGACATCTCCGGGAAAAAAACACACACAAAAAAAAACCCCATCGCCGAGTCAGGAATTCCAAGTTCACTGAGCCGTGTCACTGGTTTCCAGAGGCCCAGACGCCATAAACGCGGCTTTTCCTGCTGTTAGGGCGACGGCCAGACAGGCAGGCAGACAGGGCACAGGGTACGCCACCGCCTCGGTCATCAGAGGCCGCTTGGGGGGAAAGAGCGGGTTCGGCCCCGGCTGGCGGCTCAGTGGTTAGAGCGCCGGCTTGCGGACCTGGAAGGGTCTCAGGTTCCATTCCCAGCTGAGGGTGGGCGCCTGGGCGGCAGGTCCCATCCCCGGCCAGCCCTGGAGGGATGAATTTGGGAAGCAACCCAGGGATGTTTCTCCTTCTCTATCTCTCTAACTGTCCCCCTCCCTCGTGCTCTCTCTAAAAAAATACCAGCTGAAACCGGTGTGGCTCAGTGGATAGAGCGTCGGCCTGCGGACAGAAAGGTCCCGGGTTCGATTCCGATCAAGGACGTGGACCTTGCTTGCGGGCACATCCCTAGTGCGGGGTGTGCAGGAGGCAGCTGATCGATGATTCTCTCTCACAGATGTTTCTAACTCTCTATCCCTCTCTCTTCCTCTCTGTAAAAAATCAATAAAAAATGATATATATATATATATATACATACATATAAAATGAAATGAAATAAAAAATATCAGTGGGCCCTGGCTGGCTTGGTTCAGTGGACAGAGCATCAGCCGGGACCCACACCCGTCCCTCCTCCGCCCGCAAGGACCTGCCACACCCTGGCAGCAGCTCACCTGGCAGCAGCACCGGCTCCAGCTTTTTAATCTTGGGCTCCGAATCGAACTTGTCCTCCGCCTGAAACACGGGCGCAAACGGCGCGATTCAACACCTCCGCCCCCCCCGCCCCAGACACACACCGAACCCCACGTTCTTTCTACCCGGTGGCCCTAGGGGACCCCAATCTGCACCCGTCCGGTCCGTCGTCCCCCTTCAATCCTTTCCCAATTTTTTTAAACCAAGTTGTTGTTTTTTTTTTAAAGATCGACTCGGGAGCCGGACATTAAGACATCAAGGGCCGGGCAGGTGCCCTAACCCCATCCCTAACCCCATAGGGTGTCCCCGATCCCCTGGCCGGTCACGTGGGCGGGACAGACATCTGGTCGCTGGGCTCGCAGCTCCGGGCGCAGCATGGCAGCGGCCGGCGGAGTGTGACAACTTTTCCTCGAGTGAGTGGGGGCTCTGGCTGGGGACAGGGGAGGACTGGGGGAGACCAAGGACTAGGGGGGCCATGGGGACGGGGCACCGAGGACCAGGGAGACATGGCGACAGGTGGCCTCCGGGTCTCCAGCTCCACGGGCCGGCCGGCCGGCGGCTCCCGGGAGCGCGGAGGGAGGAGAGGGGCGCGCGGGGAGGGGGCCGCGTACCTGGGGCGGCGGCAGCAGGTAGGACCGGAAGGTGGGTCTGGGCGGCTTGAGGGAGAACATGGTCCCGCCCCGGCCCGCTCGCCAGCCGGGACCCGCCGCGGGCTGAGCGCTCCCCGTGTGGCCAGCCGGGCCCGGCGCTCGGACGGGCGGGGAGGAGCCGGGGGGCGGGGGGCAGAGTCGGGACGGGGCCGACGGCGGCCGCCCGAGCCCATCCCCGGAAGTGGCCCTGCCCCGAGAGACGGCGGCGGCGCGCGCGGGGGGCTGGCGGCCAGGCGCTCGGGGCCTCCAGGCCTCGCCCGCGCCGCCGTCACGCGGGGCTGTCGCCGCGGCGCCGCGCACCCGCCGCCGCCCGGACCTCCTCAGCGAGGGCGCAGGGGGGAGCGGCGCGCGACGGCCATCTTGGGCGCGCAGCCGCGGGGAGGGCGCGCCTACGGCGGCCCGCGGGGGTCACGGCGGCCCCCAGGGAGCTACGGTGGCCCGCGGGGGTCAAAGGCCGCCCGCGGTTGTCCTGCTGGCCCCCTGGGAACTCGACGGCGACCGCGGGAGCGGGCCCGGGCCCGGCCGTGGCTCGGAGCCTCCTCGGTCGCGTCCTTCCCTCCGCTCCTGGGACCCTCTTCCCTGGGGCGCTGCTCGGCAGTCGCCCGGCTCGCGTGATCACTGTGGGGGAAGCCGGGGAGTGGAGCCCGGTGTGGGAGGGGTGGGCTCTGGGAGGGGGGACAGGTGAGCCCGGGAGAGGGATCGGGGACAAATGGGCCCCATAGAGGGAACAGTGAGCCTGGGAGGGGGGACAGATGAGCCCCAGAGAGGGGGCAGGTGCAGCCCGGGAGGGGGGACAGGTGAGCCCAGAGGGGACAGGTGCATTCTGGGAGGGGGGGACAGGTGAGCCCCAGAGAGGGGGCAGGTGAGCCCAGAGAGGGGACAGGTGAGCCCAGAGAGGGGACAGGTGAGCCCAGGAGAGGGGACCAGTGAGCCTGGGACAGGGGACCCGTCTCCAAAGCACAGTGCAGCCGGACTGCAGGTGGAGGCCCCTCAGAGGCCTACTCCCCGGGACTCGGGGACCACGGACGGATGACTTAGGCCGGCCACGCAGACCCCTCCATCCTGTCTGTTGATTCCTCCCCCTCTTCCTGTATTAAACAATAACGTGGAAAAAGATGTGACACAAGCCGCCTCCTTTCTTTTCTCGCTCTTTGCACCTGTCAGGTGGGAGTGGGCCGCTGAATGGATATTGAGATTGATCTTTTTTAAAAAATATATATTTTATTGATTTTTTACAGAGAGGAAGGGAGAGAGAGAGAGAGCTAGAAACGTCGATGAGAAACATCGACCAGCTGCCTCCTTCACACCCCCTACCGAGGATGTGCCCGCAACCAATGTACATGCCCCCGACCGGAATCGAACCCGGGACCCTTCAGTCCGCAGACCGACGCTCTACCACTGAGCCAAACCGGTTTCGGCTGAGATTGATCTTAATTGGATATTGAGATTGAGTAGTATTGGATATTGAGATTGATCTTAATTGGATATCCAGATTGAGTAATATTGGATATTCATAGCAGTAGCAAAATTATGGAGTAGTAATTAAAACAATATATACACATGTACTATATACTATATACATATAGTATATAGTATATATGTATACTATATATATACTATATACTACATACTACATACTACATACTATACTATATACTATATACTATATACTATATACTATATACAATATATACTATACATACTATATGCCATATATACACTGTATATATACTATATACTATATATACTGTATATACTATGCACTATATATACAATATATACTATACACACACACACACACACACTGAGTGGCCAGATGATTGTGCATTCAGAGATCATAATAATCTGGACACTCAGTGTACACGAACGCTGGCTGTTAAAAGAGTAAATCCAAAGAGTTCTCGCCACAAGGGGAAAAACCATTTTGGCTTCCTCTCATTGTGTCCACGTGATGATGGGCGTGAACTGCACCTGTTGGGGTCCCCGCGTCGCAATCCAGTGAAATCGTAACGCCACCCGCCTTCCGCTTGTGCGTCCTATGACCTCTCCCGAACGCTGGGAAGCAATGGATGTTTATCCACACACACGCTTCAGTCCGTACGGGCGTGTTTCTTTATTTTTACTTCTATATACTTTTTTTTTTTAGATTTCAGACAGGAAAGGAAAGGGGGGTGGCGGGGGAGAGAAACATCCACGATGAGAGAGAATCACGGACCCGCTGCCTCCTGCACGCCTCCTCCACCCGGGCCTGTGCCCCGTCCGGGAATCGAACCCGGAACCTCCTGGTTCCTGGGCATGCTGGCCGGGCTCTGGCGTCTTCTTCTCGGGGCCACGCATCCCTGTACGGCCTCATCTGTCCGTAATGACCTCCTACCGGCCGTGTCTCCGGAGACAGCCACCCTGGGGACGGGGTTCGCACGGAGGAATGCGGGGAGCACACACGGGAGCCCGCGGCGCGTCCACACCGCTGAGAGCCTTCCGGGCCGGCTGGCGTCTTCGGAACCTGGTGACCATCAGCCGGCCGGCCAGAGGGTGCTGGTCCTCGGCGGCTCTGACGTCAGGAGCCGGAGCAGCCGGGCCCGTCAGCATTCCGTTTCTGCAGGTGTGGCCTCCGTCTTCGACACGGCCACGAGGCTGCCCAGGCTGCCGGCGTAACCGGGGGCGTCCAGCCAGGCCCGCGCGCCCGGAGCCCTCCCCGGGCGGCCGTGCAAGCTCTTGGACCTCAGCGACGGGAACCCCGGGGCCCGGCCCGCGCCCACCGTCAGCAGGTTCCCCGTCTCCGCGGGCTCGGCCACGGCCAGGGGGACCCCTCGAGCAGGGGCACCGCGAGCCTCCTCCTCCTCCGCCAGCCTCTCGGCTTCCCCGTACGGGGGCAGGTCGGTGCTGCGGGACCGTGTGATCCTGTGGACCTGGTACGTCCACTCCGCGGTCCACGCCCGGCCCCCGCCCGGCCCGCACGGCCCCGGCTCGCCCACCAGCCTCCTGCCGTGGGAGAACACGACGCGCGCGGACTCCAGGGTGTGACAGGCGCCGGACGCCTCGTCGGGGCCGGGGCGGGGCCCGTCCGTGTCTCCTGGAGGCCCGGGGGCAGCCACCTCCGTCACTGCTGCCGCTCTGACCCTGAGCTGCGCGTCCTGCAAATCCGACGTCTGCTCGGCGGGCAGGGCCTTCGTTTCCTCCCTGCCCCTCGCCCGGCCCGGCGGGTCCTGGCCGCGGTCTGAGGCCAGCCGGCTGCCCCCGGGCGAGGCCGGGGCGCTCCTGCCCGGGGCCAGGCCCACCCCGGGGTCCTTCTCTCCCTGCCCTCGGAAGGAGCAGGCTCTCTTGGTGCCGAGCCCCGAGCCCGGCTCCTCCGGGGGCAGGGGGAAGCGGGGCCGGCCGCCGCCCACGCTGTCGGCGCTGTGCACGCTGCTCTGCTGCAGCAGGAAGGTGGCCTCGCACTCGGAGGCGGCCCGGGAGCGCGCGCGTGCGAGCTCGGACGGGTCGATGCCCGCCAGGGCCTCCAGGGCGCCGGCCACGCGTCCCGACAGCTCCTCCAGCTGCGAGAGCCGCAGGTCCACCGTCTGCAGCGCCGTCTTCATGAAGCCCTCCCGCTCGTTCATCTCCTCCAGCCGCATGGACATGTTCTCCACCCTGGCAACACCAAGGGCAGAGGGTGAGTCCGCAGCGGACAAGGGACGCCGTCTGACAGCCACAACGGAGGCCCGGGGCCCGGAGATCGGTGCAAGAACCGGCCTTCCTTCCCCGGCACCGCCTCTCCGCCTTCCCAGCTGCCCAGGGGCTCAGAGCACCTGCGTTTGCAAATCAACCCGCCATCTTTGTTGGGTTAATTTGCATACTCACGCCTGATTGGCTGGTGGGTGTTGTGAAGGTACTGTCAGTTTGCTTCTCTCTCTTTTTAAAAAAAAAAAAAATATTGATTTTTAACAGAGAGGAAGGGAGAGGGATAGAGAACTAGAAACGTCGATGAGAGAGAAACATCTACCAGCTGCCTCTTGCACACCCCCTACTGGGAATGCGCCCGCAACCAAGGTACATGCCCTTGACCGGAATCGAACCCGGGACCTTTCAGTCCGCAGACTGACGCTCTGCCGCTGAGCCACACCGGCTTCGGCTTCTTACTCTTTTATCAGTGTAGGTGTTTTTACAGTCTTTCTTCTTTAAAAAAAAATTTTTTTTAAATTGACTTCAGAGAGGACTAGAGAAAGGGGGAGAAAGAGAGATGGGAAGAGAGAGGGGGAGAGAGAGAGAGAAGCATCACTGATGAGAGAGAACCATTGATGGGCTGGCTCCTGCACGCCCCTCACTGGGGATGGAGCCCGCAACCAGGAATGCATTCAGCACCTCCTGGTTCCTAGGTTGACGCTCAACCACCTTGCCACCCTGGCCGGGCCCCATTTAAATATTTAAATCAGAGCGAAAGCACCGTACATACCGCTTCCCACTGCATTCAAATAGCAGGTCCAGCACTGCATACCTCGGGGGGCCTTCTGGAGCAACGTCCAAGAGAATACCTACCCATGAGCCCTGGCCTTTCCTAGATGCTGCTCTGTCACCACGTACAGGGGCCGAGTTCAAGTCCCCACGTGTCCAAAGCCAGAGCGCCAGCCGGCCGGCCGCCAGTGAAACCCCGTTTCCTACGCCGTCAGCTCCTCACGGACAGCCCCCTCCGCCCGAGAGGCACCCCGGAATCACACGGGAGCGTTCCCCTAATGACAGAGCTGGCTGCTCCCATAAAGCCGTCGGCTCCGTGGGAGTCCCGGGCCCGGCTGGTACTCACGGCTCCGAGACCAGGCCTGCCCTGTCATTGCGCGCCAGGCGCGAGGATCAAAACGGCGTCTGTCTCGCCCGGCTCTTTTCCTTGGGGCCTTTCAAGTTGGGTAATTGTAGGGAGGCAGCCCAAACGGGCAGACCTGCGTGCTCAAGATTGCACAGGGTGCCTTAAATCTTCCTGAGTTCTCGTTCCTTTTTTTTTTTTTTTTTTTTAATGATTACCTTCCCCCCCCCCCTTTTTTTTTAATTGATTTCAGAGAGGAAGGGAGAGAGACAGAAGCATCCACGAGGAGAGAGAACATTCTACCGGCTGCCTCCCTCACGCCCACCCCCCTACTGGGATCCGGCCTGCAATCCGGGCACGTGCCCCGACCGGGAATCGAACAGAGACCTCCCAGTTCGGACGTGGATTCTCGGCCCCTGAGCCAGGCCGGCCGGCTCCCTCTGTCTCGTTTGTGGGGCCAGGCCAGTTAGGGCGGCCCTGTGAGCCGGGAGGGAGGGCCGTGGCGGCCGGTGCTGCCGGGCCTGAGCGGGCGTGTCTCCCTCTGGGGCGTGTCTCCCGGAGAGAACGGAACCACACCCTGGACGCCCAGCGTGAATGACTAACAACGCTGGCATTTTTATTTACTTATTTATTTTTAAATCCCTATCTACCTGATACCTGTCTCTCTCTCTCTCTCTGGATTGGCTGTCAATACCGGGTCAGGAATAGGACCCACACCCCAGCGTGCTCCTGGCGTTGACTCCTGTGGACGTTTAAGCTCAGGACATCCCCGTGGGCTCTTCCCAGATCGGCCTGGGGACGGAGGGGTCCCGGGTTTGATTCCGGTCAAGGGCGTGGACCTTGGTTGCGGGCACATCCCCAGTAAGGGGGTGTGCAGGAGGCAGCTGATCGATGTTTCTCTTTCATCAGTGTTTCTGACTCTCCCTCTCCCTTCCTCTCTGTAAAAAAATCAATGAAATATATTTTATTTTAGTGGTTGAACATCGAGCTATGAGCCAGAAAGTCATGGTTTGAGTTCCCGTGTTACGGGAGGCAGCTGATCAATGAGTCTCTCTCACCTCTCTCTCTCTGACATCAATCAATCAAAATATATTATTTAAATGCATTAATATAATATAACATAATATAATATAAATAAATATACATATAGTCATAGAAATGAGAGGAACTTTTTATCCTCCCAGGTTTGATCTTAGAGTCCTCCCCGGGGCCAAAAATGAGGTGGAAATAGCTCCTGTGATTCCCGCTCCCCAGCGGGCCTGGCCCCGCCCCCCGCCTGGCATTCCCGGTGACTCAGCCGGACGGACGGATGGGGACAATGGGACGGGCAGGAACGCGCTCCCATCCCAGGCACCCCTGGCTCAGGGAAACAGGAAGGGCCTGACACGCGTGCCTTCCCTCGGCTCCCGGAGCCGGTCCAGGAATGGCAAACATCCCAGCAATGCCGGGGGAGGTGGGGGCAGAGGGAACTCCGGGAGAGTGGAAATTTCCCATCAACGGCTCCAGCACCGGCCGAGGGCACAGGCCCGGGGTGCGGGCTCCGTCCCGGTGTGGGGCGTGCAGGAGGCAGCCGGTCCCCGATTCTCTCTCCTCATCGTGGGTGCTTCCCTCCCTCTCCCTTCTCTCCCTCTGCCTTCCTCTCTGAAATCAATAATACATTTTTATTTTTTTTTTTGAAGAAGAAAATGTGCCTCATCAAGGCCGAAGGACGGTGTGATAACCCTGGGGTTTGGCACTTTGTCACCAGGTGACCAGGTCCAGGAGGGGACAGAGGCCTGGGGACGGGGCCCCGAGCAAGAGCGGCCAGCCTGAGCGTGCCCAGGGCGACTCCAGGAGTCTCGCAGGGCCCTGAGCTGTGCTTTGAGGGCCTCCCGTGTGCTTACCCGTAAACACGGGTGTCTCCCTGGGGAGCCTGTCATTCTGAGTGCCCGGGGCTGTGCAATGAGTTAGAACAGCAGCGTCTCCCTGCTCTCAGTTCAACCCTGGAGCCACGTGGGTTTGTTTGCTTTTAAACCAGCTATCCCCCGAGGATGTTGCTCCCATTGATTTTTAGGGAGAGCGGAAGGGAGGGGAAGGAGACAGAGAGAAACACCGGTGGGAGAGGGAGACGCGTCCATGGGTTGCCTCCTGCACGCTCCAGGAGGAGCTTGCCACCGCGAGGTACACGCCCTTGACCGGACCGGAACCCGGGGCCCCTCGGTCCGCAGGCCGGCGGTGCGCTGCCCGCTGAGCCGCCCCGGCCGGGCCCACCTGTCGCAGGTGACGCGGATGCGCTCCTCGCTGGACGACTGCTGCTCGTCCTCCTTCCCCTGGAAGTGCTCCTGCACGCACTGCGCCTCGAACTCATGCAGGCGCTTCAGCTCCTCGTCGCTGAGGAACAGCTCTGGGCGGCCCCGCGTGTGTGTGTGGGTGTGTGGGTGTCAGAGGGAAGGGAGGCGGGGAGGGAGAGAGAGAGAGACGTCCACGATCAGAGAGAACCACGGACCGGCTGCCTCCTGCACGCCCCACCACGGAGATGGAGCCCGCAGCCCGGGCCTGTGCCCTGACCGGGAACGGAACCGTGACCTCCTGGTGCATAGATCAGTGCCCAACCCCTGAGCATTGACCTATGCTGGCAAGCTGCTTTTAGAGATCTTTTTATAAAAATATATATATATATATATATTTTTTTTAATGCCGAAACCGGTTTGGCTCAGTGGATAGAGCGTCGGCTTGGAGACTGAAGGGTCCCGGGTTCGATTCCGGTCAAAAGCATGTGCCTTGGTTGCGGGCACATCCCCAAGTACGGGGTGTGCAAGAGGCAGCTGATCGATGACTCTCTCTCATCGATGTTTCTAACTCTATATCCCTCTCTCTTCCTCTCTGTGAAAAATCAATAAAATATATTTTTAAAAAATTATATATATGTTTTTTTAATTGATATTTTTAGAGAGAAAGGGAGAAGGATAGAGAGAAGACGTCTATGATGAGAGAGAATCATGGATCAGCTGCCTCCTGCACGTCCCACACTGGGAATCAAGCCCGCACCCCGGGCCTGTGCCCTGATGGGGAACGGAACCGTGACCTCCTGGTTCCGAGGTCCACGGTCAGCCTCTGAGCCCGAGGGGGGCGGGGAGGGACGGGGGAGCGGGGGGGACGGGGCACCCACTCAGCCCGCGGTCCTGCTCGTCCGGCTCGCCCCCCCGCCTCCTCCGGCAGCGGCCCCCGAGCCGCCGGCCGATGATGTAGAGGTGGCTCAGCAGGATCATGGGCGGCGGCAGCACCGGCCGGTCGTGGAAGGTCATGATGAGCTGGTAGCGCTGGAACTTCCACACCTGGTTGGAGATGGACTTCACCTCGAAGAAGGTGTTGCTTTGCAAAGAGGAGACATTGTTCTCCATCAGTCCGGGGGAGGCTCTCTCCCCAGGGCCGTCCGCGTCTCCACCAAACCTCAAGGCTCAACGATCCGGCCCCGGCCAGAGTGGCTCAGCGGATAGCGCGCCGGCCTGCGGGCCAGAGGGTCCCCCCGGGTTCGATGCCGGTCAAGGGCACGGACCTCGGTGGCAGGCTCCGCCCCATCCCGGGGCCCTGGCCGGGGAGCGTGCAGGAGGCAGCCCATCGATGTGTCTCTCTCTCACATCGATGTTTCTCTCTGTCTCTCCCTCTCCCTTCCTGTCTCTCCAAAAATCAGTGGGAGCCGAAACTGGTGTGGCTCAGTGGATAGAGCATCGGCCTGCAGACTGAAGGGTCCCCTGTTCGATTCCGGTCAAGGGCACGGACCTTGGTTGCGGGCACATCCCCAGTAGGGGGCGTGCAAGAGGCAGCTGATCGATGACTCTCTCTCATCGATGTTTCTAACTCTCTATCCCTCTCTCTTCTTCTCTGTAAAAAATCAATAAAACATAGTTGTTTTCTTTTAAAAAAAAAAAGCAAATATTGGGAGTACTATTTAAAAAATAAAAAAATCAGCGGGAAAACAATATCCTCAGCTGAGGATTAAAAAAGGAAAAAAAATCCCACCCTTTCCCAGGGACACTCTGTGTCCAGGCACGCCCGCGTGGGGGCGTCTGTGAGGAGCCTGTCCCCGTCCCCCGTTCCCCGCAGGGGACACGCACTTGAAGACTGCGATGAGCAGGTTGACCAGCAGGATGTTGGCCACCAGCAGGTAGCAGGCCATGATGGCGGGGGTCAGCCAGGCGCCTGGGATGCAGGGCGGCAGGCGCCGGCCCTCCTCGTCGTACTGGTTCTCGCCACACGGAGCTGGAACGGACGGAGGGAGGTCCTTCTGTGCCCGCTCTGGCATGGCTCACCGAAGTTATCATGTGATAACAGCTCCCCGAGGCTATCATGTGACCCATGTCTTTTTTTTTATTTTTATATAGGATTTTTTTCCCCCGGTGAAAAATAGCAACTCATGCCGAGACCGGTTTGGCTCAGTGGATAGAGCGTCGGCTTGGGGACTGAAGGGACCCGGGTTCGATTCTGGTCAAGGGCATGTACCTTGGTTGCGGGCATATCCCCAGTAGGGGGTGTGCAAGAGGCAGCTGATCCATGATTCTCTCTCATCGGTGTTTCTAATTCTCTATCTCTCTCCCTTCCTCTCTGTACAAAATCAATAAAATATATATTAAAAGAAAAAGAAAAATAGCAACTCATAAAAGAAATAAGGAGCCGAAACCAGTGTGGCTCAGTGGATAGAGCGTCAGCCTGAGGACTGAGGGGTCCTGGGTTCGGTTCCCGTCAAAGGCATATGTACCTTGGTTCTGGGCTCATCCCCAGCAGGGGGTGTGCAGGAGGCAGCCGATGGATGTTGCTCTCTCCCTCTCCCTCCCCCTCCCTCTCTCTCTTTCAAGTCAACACAAAAAACTATTTTAAAAGGCAAACCATACTTCCTTTCTCTGCCCCTTGGCAATGCCACGCCGATCCCACGGGATCTATTCCGTGGAGGAAAGACAGGGTGACCCCAACAGGCACTCGTGACATAAACTCCATCGATGTCTAGCCTACATGCTTCTCATTTATTTACAGTTTAAAGAAACAACAACACAAAAACTGTCGACACCAGGAAACCAGAGAGGTGTTCGCACCCAGGGCAAAGCTGCTGGCAATTAGCTAAGGAAGAGACTAAGGAACAAAGGGATACGCACACTGCGCGGGCGCTGGACGCCGGGGCGGGGAACGCCCGGCCCACGGGCCATGTGAGGCCCCTGGAACCGTGTGGCCTGGCCCCGCCGAGGCCTCCGGGGCAAGTTAACGGAAGGCTGGAGCCCACAGAGCAGGCGAGCTTTTAAGAGGATCGTTTTGACAAAAATACCCAAACGGCCCTCGGCCCCACCCCTGGCAGAGTCGTACGCTTTGTGTACACTTACGGTTGATTTCCATGGCGTAGACTGCACGGCGTTCGAGGGAGGAAAGAAAACAAGGTGGCGGTGGAGGGAAAAGTAAAATGGTTAACGCACAAGACAATGCAGAGTCTTCAGATTCCTCCCGGTCAAGGGCACGTGCAGGGAGGCAGCCCATCGACATGTCTCTCTCTCACATCCATGTTCCTCTCTCGCTCTCTCTCTCCCCCTCCTGTTCACTCTCTAAAAATCAACGGGAAAATAGCCTCGGGGAGGATGAGCAACAAAAATCTCCCCGTTTGCTCGGTCCCCTGCACTCACTCGGTGAAAACCACGTGATGCTCCCGCAGGACAGAGGCCTGCTCCACCCCCCGCGCCCCCGCGCCCCCCCCCCCCCCCCCCCCCCCGGCGGGCCTAGCCTGCGGGGCAGGGAGCAGGCCTTACTATGGATTCTAGTCTTACGGTCGGTCTGGTCCGCGAACACCTCGCCGTAGATCATCCAGTAGGGCATGTAGAAGATGTTGCGGGCCAGCCGCCATGAGGGCTCCTCGTCCGGGTGCAGGATGGCCTGGCGGGCGACGCCGAAGCTCATCAGCACCACCAGCATGATCACCACGAAGTACAGCATGTCGATCATCTGCCAATCAGAGTGCAGGTGTCAGCCATCCGCCAATCAGAGTGCAGTGTGTCAGCCATCCACCAATCAGAGTGCAGCGTGTCAGCCATCCACCAATCAGAGTGCAGGTGTCAGCCATCCACCAATCAGAGTGCAGCCTGTCAGCCATCCACCAATCAGAGTGCAGCGTGTCAGCCATCCGCCAATCACAGTGCAGTGTGTCAGTCATCCACCAATCAGAGTGCAGCCTGTCGATCATCTGCCAATCACAGTGCAGTGTGTCAGTCATCCACCAATCAGAGTGCAGCCTGTCGATCATCTGCCAATCAGAGTGCAGGTGTCAGCCATCCACCAATCAGAGTGCAGCCTGTCAATCATCTGCCAATCAGAGTGCAGCGTGTCAGCCATCCACCAATCAGAGTGCAGTGTGTCAGCCATCTGTCAATCACAGTGCAGTGTGTCAGCCATCCGCCAATCACAGTGCAGCGTGTCAGCCATCCGCCAATCAGAGTGCAGCGTGTCAGCCATCCACCAATCAGAGTGCAGCGTGTCAGCCATCCGCCAATCACAGTGCAGTGTGTCAGCCATCCGCCAATCACAGTGCAGTGTGTCAGCCATCCGCCAATCACAGCGCAGCGTGTCAGCCATCCGCCAATCACAGCGCAGTGTGTCAGCCATCCACCAATCACAGTGCAGTGTGTCAGCCATCCGCCAATCACAGTGCAGCGTGTCAGCCATCCGCCAATCAGAGTGCAGCGTGTCAGCCATCCGCCAATCAGAGTGCAGCGTGTCAGCCATCCGCCAATCACAGTGCAGCGTGTCAGCCATCCGCCAATCACAGTGCAGCGTGTCAGCCATCCGCCAATCAGAGTGCAGTGTGTCAGCCATCTGTCCATCACAGGGAATGGGTCTCTGATGGTCTCCAGTTCACGTGGCTCCTGATTTTGCTCAACTCAGACTTCATCAGTGCTTCGCCCGCCGGCGTGGCTCGGGGGTTGAGCATTGACCTATGAACCTGGAGGTCATGGTTCAATTCCCGGTCAGGGCACAGGCCCTGGTTTTGGGCTTGATCCCCAGTAGGGGGCGTGCAGGAGGCAGCTGATCCATGATTCTCTCTCCTCATGGATGTTTCTAATCACTCGCTCTCCTTTCCTCTCTGAAATCAATAACAATATATTTTAAAAAGAGCCCCTGTTAGTTGACTCAGTGGATAGAACACTGGCCCATGGACGGAAGGGTCCCAGGTTCGATTCCTGGTCAAGAGCAGGTACCTCTGTTTCAGGCTCAATCCCTGGCCCTGGGCGGGGCGTGGGCAGGAGGCAACCCACCGATGTGTCTCTCTCAAACCCACGCTTCTCTCTGCCGCTCCCCCTGCCTTCCACTCTCTCTCAAAACCCACGGCAGAACGAGGGAGAGGAGGAGGAGGTGGAGGAAGGAGGAGAAGGAAGAAGAAGGAAGAGATAGAGGAGGAGGAGGAAGAGGAGGAGGAGGAGGAGGAGGAGGAGGAGGAGGAAAAGAAGAAGGAGAAGAAGGAGGAGGAGGAGGAGGGAAAGAAGAAGGAGAAGAAGGAGAAGGAGGAGGAAGAGAAGGAGGAGGAGGAGGAGGAGGAGGGAAAGAAGAAGAAGGAGGAGGAGAAGGAGGAGGAGGAGGAAAAGAAGAAGGAGAAGGAGGAGAAGGAGGAGGAAGAGGAGAAGGGAGGAGAGGAGGAAGAGGGAAGAAGAAGGAGGAGGAGAAGGAGGGAGGAGGAGGAGAGGAAGAGGAGGGAAAGAGAAGAAGAAGGAGGAGGAGGAGGAGAGGGGAAAAGAAGAAGGAGAAGGAGGAGAAGGAGGAGGAAGAGGAGAAGGAGGAGGAGGAGGAGGAGGAGGAAGAGGGAAAGAAGAAGGAGGAGGAGAAGGAGGAGGAGGAAGAGGGAAAGAAGAAGAAGGAGGAGGAGGAGGAGGAGGAGGGGGAAAAGAAGAAGAAGAAGAAGAAGGAGGAGGAGGAGGAGGAAGAGGAGGGAAAGAAGAAGGAAAAGAAGAACAACAACAACAAGAGGAAGAGAAGGCAGAGGGATCCAGCCTCACAGGAAAGACCAGAGGAAAGGAAAGGCAGCCGGGCAGCGGCCGCGCCGGCTGGGCTCACCATCTTGCCGATCATCATGACGTAGGGCCCCAGGTACTTGTTGACGCCGAAGATGTCGAGCACGCGGATGTACCAGAAGATGATGTCCACGCAGTAGAGCACGCGGCCGTAGCCCATGTAGGGCTCCCGCTGCAGCCGCAGCACCGCGCCCACCAGGAACACGGAGATGGCCACCAGGTCCGTGAGGTTCCAGTACTCCTGCAGCCACACCTTCACCTTCTGGCTCAGCTTGCCCGGCTCCGACATGAGGATCTGCAGCGGGCGCCGCGGGCGGGCGGGCGGGCGGGCGGGCCGTGGGCGGGAGGGCCGGCCGGGAGACCTCCTCGGACCCGGGGCCCACAGGGGGACCTTCCAGGGGACGCGGTTCCCTTTCCCGCTGGGCACCTCCCAACACCATCCTCTCAGGCGGGCAGAGACCTCTCGAGCTGCCCTAGCCAGTGTGGCTCAGTGGATAGAGCATCGGCCCGCAGACCGTAGGGTCCCAGGTTCGATTCCGGCCAAGGGCACAGGCTCGATCCCCAGTGGGGGGCTTGCAGGGGGCAGCCGATCCGTGATTCTCTCTCATCATGGATGTTTCTCTCTCTGTCCCTCTCCCTTCCTCTCCGAAATCAATATAAAAATAGATATACATGGTGTGGCCAGATGATGATGACGATCTCTGAATGCATACTAATCTGACCACTCAGTGTGTGTGTATATATATATTAGAAGCCCAGTCCATGAATTCGTGCATGGGGGTGGGGTCCGGCCAGCCTGGCCAGGGGGAGGGGACGTGGGCGGTCGGCCGGCCTGCCTGCTGGTCGAACTCCTGGTCGAGGGGACCCTGTGCACGTTAGCCTTTTACTCTATAGGATAGACCCGGAGTGGCCAGATGATTTTGTGCTCAGAGATCATCACCATCTGGCCGCTCGGTGTGTTATTTATTAAGAGGAAGGAAGGGAGGGGGGAAGGAAGGAAGGAAGGAGGGAAGGGAGGGGGGAGGGAACTGGTTTTAAAAGAAGAAGAAGAAGTTGTGTCTGAGTTGGCACAGGTGGGGGGGAAGCACTTGGGGAGCACTCACCTCCCGCACCTTCTCCAGGGCCAGCATCACGATGTAGGCGATGACCACCCACTCCTGCAGGCAGGGCCAGCGCTCCATGCGCACCAGGATGATGTAGTTGAAGAGCAGCAGGTAGCCCAGGTAGGAGATCTGCCGGCGGGCGGACGGGGCGCGTGAGCCGCGGGCTGGGGGCGGGGGGCCGGGGGCGGGGGGCCGGGAACCCCCGTCCCTGCACCCGGAGGGCGTGGGGGGCGGCGGCCGGGGGGCCTCACCGTGTAGAACCAGAACTTGACGATGGGCGCGTTGTAGAACTCGCAGATCTTGGTCCCGATGGGGATGCCCCTGTGCTTCCTGTGCTCGCTCTCCTCGTCCCCCTTCCTGGAGCCGGCGTCCGCGCTGGGGTCCTGGGCACACGGGGGGGCGGGGGGCGGGCGGGGGGCCGCGTGGGGAAGGCAGCCCCCCCCATCGCCCCCCTCATCGCCAGCACGCCCCCCCCCCCCCCCCCCGCCGCCCCGTCCTCACTCCGGGCACTGACCGCGGCCTCCTCCTCCCTCTCCCGGCCGTCCTCGTTCTCCTTGGACGTCTGGTAGGAGAAGTCGTCCTGCGTGCGGAACTCCAGGAGCAGGATGGTGGGCGGGAGGAGGATGCCCAGGATGACCTGCGGGCGGGGGGGGGGGGGGGGGGGAAGCATGGGCGTCTAGTCGGTGCCATGATGGCGCAGGGGGAGGTGGGGGTGCTCGCCAGGCGTGGGGAGGATGGATGCACAGGGCCCCAGTGGGCCACACGCACACACGCGCACATGCACACACATGTACACACACCCACGCAAACACATATACACACCACACACATGCACACACACGCACAGCTACACACCCCACACACATGTACGCACACGCACACACACACCACACGCACATGCACGTATGCACATACACGCACGCACACACCTTCAGGCCTGGGTTCTTGCGCACACGCAGCCGCCCCATCCACATGTCGGTGAGCAGCATCTGGCTGCAGGTGTGGGCGATGAAGTCGCGGTGCTTGGCGGCCACGGCCAGCTTGAGGCAGGTGGAGTTGCTCCAGTTCCGCAGCTCGCAGGTCAGCAGCTTCATGGCCACCTGCTCGTCCTGCCGGTAGGACTGGTCCAGCAGCTCCACGGCCAGCTGCCCGAAGTCCCTGCGCACAGGAGGGACGGGGACGGGGACGGGGTTGGTCCGGCCCAGGAGCCAGCGGGTCAGGGCTCCACCCCCAGTGGAGGGCTGTGCAGGAGGCAGCCGATCCATGATTCTCTCTCCTCATGGATGTTCCTATCCCTCTCTCCCTCTCCCTTCCTCTCTCTCTCTAAAGAATCAATAAAAATATATTTAAAAAAAAATAAACAAACAAAGCCCTAGCCAGTTTGGCTCAGTGGGTGGAGGGAGCGTCGGCCTGCGGACTGAAGGGTCCCAGGTTCGATTCCAGTCAAGGGCATGGACCTTGGTTGCGGGCACATCCCCGGTGGGGGGGCGTGCAGGAGGCAGCTGACCGATGTTTCTCTCTTTATCAATGTTTCTAGCTCTTTATCCCTCTCCCTTCCTCTCTGTAAAAAAAAACAAAAAAACAAAACAATAAAATACATTTAAAAAAAAAATCAACGTGGCCCTAGCTGGTATGGCTTAGTGGCTAGAGCGACAGCCTGCGGACTGAAGGGTCCCCGGGTTCGATTCCGGTCAAGGGCATGTGCCTTGGTGGCGGACACATCCTCAGAGGGGGGCGTGCGGGAGGCAGCTGGCTGGCGTTTCTCTCTCATCGACGTTTCTAGCTCTCTCTCCCTCTCCCTTCCTCCCTGTAAAAAACCCATAAAATATATATATATATATATATTTTTAAGAAGCGGGATGCCCGCCCGCCCCGGCCCCCGGCCAGGCCCCCGGCCGCACTTGGAGTGGCCGTCCAGGTCCTGGGACACGTCGTCCACCAGCTGGCTCTCGGCGCACTCGTGGGCCATGGCCTTGTAGAGCTTGCAGGCCACCAGGGCGCGGGCCATGCTCTCCTCGCCGCGCCGCCAGAGGAACAGCGCCATGCGCTGCCGGCGCATCAGCACGGCCCACACCGTCAGCTCGTGGAACGGGTGCCGGAAGCGGCTGGCCGCCGGGTCCTCCGCGCCGCCCTCCGCGGCCGCCTCCTTCCCGCGCTGCTTCTGCTTCCGCTTGCCCTTGGCCGGGGGCTCCTCGTCCTGCAGCGGAGGGCGGCGTGTTCCCCGTCAGCCCGGCCGGGGTTCGGGGCAGGCCTCCCCCCCCCCCCCCCCCCCCCCCCGGGAGCCGGGAGGTCACGGCTTCGGCTCCCAGACAGAGCACAGGCCCGGGTTTGCTGGCTCGATCCTCCGCAGGGGGCGTGCGGGAGGCAGCCGACCCATGATTCTCTCCCATCATTGATGTTTCTCTCTCTCTCTCTCTCTCTCTCTCTCCCCCACATCAATAATAATAATTTTTTAAAAGATATCAAGAGCCCTGGGCAGTGTGGCTCAGTGGGTGGAGCGTTGGCCTGCGGACTCAGGGGGTCCCGGGTTCGATTCCGCTCGGGGGCACATGCCCAGGCTGTGGGCTCGATCCCGAGCAGGGGCAGGCGGGAGGCAGCCGATCGATGATTCTCTCCCATTATCATTGCTGTTTCTCTCCCTCTCTCTCCCTCTCTCTCTCTCTCTCTCTCTCTCTCTCTCTCTTCTCTCTCCCCCACATCAATAATAATAATTTTTAAAAAAATAGCAAGAGCCCTGGGGAGTGTGGCTCAGTGGATGGAGCGTTGGCCTGCGGACTCAGGGGGTCCCGGGTTCGATTCCGCTCGGGGGCACATGCCCAGGCTGTGGGCTCGATCCCGAGCAGGGGCAGGCGGGAGGCAGCCGATCGATGATTCTCTCCCATCATGAATGTTTCTCTCTCTCTCTCTCTCTCCCTCTCTCTTCCCCTCTAAAATCAATAAAAATATATTTTTTAAAAACTAGAAAGAAAGAAAACAAACACGTGGGGTTGCATGTTAAACGACACCGGACGGAGACGGCACAAGCACACACCGACGTACCTCCATCCCCAGAAGCTTGAGCGCCTTCGGCTGCAGCAGGAAAGGGGGGAGAGAGGAAAAAAAGTCAGTCATCCGGGAACTGATGCTCCTAGTACACAGATCCTAGCGGAGGGGCGGCCTGCCGGCCGGCTCCGGAGCTGAGCGTCCACCTCGGAACCAGGAGGTCCCAGTCCGATTCCCGGCCGGGGCCCACGCCCGGGATGGGGGCTCCACCCCCAGGAGGCACGGAAGACATATTTTTTAAAGAAGAAGAAAGGGGAGAGAGATCCACCAAAGGACTGTGTGCATGCCTAGGGGCCTGGCCAGTGGCCGTGGACGGCAGGGGGTGGGGGCATGCGTGGGGAGGGGATGGGGATGGGGATGGGGGATGAGGACAATTA